GCCCTAATTTTTGAAATATTTTCTTTGGGTCTACTCAAAGTTCTTCAGTACTTTGCTCTACTGTTCTCTGGGTTGCATTGTTTCCAGTGAGAAGTCTGTTGTTACTCTTATCTTTGTTCCTCTGTAATATAAAGTGTCTCATTTTTCTCTGGCTGCTTTTAATATTTTCTCTTCATTATTGGTTTTAAGTACCTTCATTATGATGTACCTTGTTGTAATTCCCTTGGTATTTTTTGTGCTTGGGTTTTATTGAGCTTTTTGGACTTGGGGCTTTAATTAAGTTTAATTAAGTTTTAATTAAGTTTATAAAAATTGTGGCCATTATTTCTTCAAATATTATTTTCTGTCCCCTTTTCTGTCCTTTGGGGACTTCAATTGCACACATATTAGGCTGCTTGGAGCTGTGCCACAGCTCACTGATGCTCTGTTCATTTTCTTTTAAGTTTTGTTTTCTCCCATTTTAGGTAATTTTCATTGCTAGCACTTCAGTTTCAATAATCTTCTTCATGCAATATCTTATCTGTTAGTAATCTATCCAGTGTATTTTTGTATCTCTAGTTGTTCTATTTCCATATTTTTTATATCTTTCATTTATCTACTCAGTCTTTCCTTTAGCTTTTGAACACATAGAATACAGTTATAGGAACTATTTTAATGTTCTTGTCTACTAATTCTGTCCTCTGTGTCACTTCTGGGTTGGTTTTGAATGATTGTTTTTTCCTCTTTGTTATGGGTGGTATTTTCATGCCTTTTTGTATGCCTGGTAAATTTCAGTTGGATGCCAGTGTCATATTACTCTTGTAACAAACACAATATAAATGTTTTATCTTACAGTTCTGGAGGTCTGAAGCCCAGAATGAGTTAGCAGAGTTGTGTTTCTTCTGGAGATTCTAGGAATGGATCCATTTCTTTGCCTTTTCCAGCCACTAGAAGCTGTCTGAATTCCTTGGCTTATAGCCCACATCACTCCAACCTCTGCTTCTGTTACATGTCTTTCTGGTTCTGTTGTCAAATTATAGTGAGGTAATACCTTCAATGTGCTGATAAAATAATTGTCAACCAGAATTCTGTACTACTGAAGTAATCTTTGAAGGATGAGGACAAAGTAGGCATTTTCAAACAAACCAAAATGGATACATTTTGTCACCAGCAGACTTACTAGAGGAAGTGCTAAAGAATGTCCTTCAGACAATAGTCAGATGATTCCAGGTATAATGCCTGAGATACAAGAGGGAATGATTAGCCAACATATTGGACAGTTTGTTGGTAAATATAAACAAACTTTGACTTATACAATAATGTAATGCCTAACAAGATTTAAAAGTTGAAAGTAAAAGATACAGGGCTTCCCTGGTGGCGCAGTGGTTGGGAGTCCGCCTGCCGATGCAGGGGATGTGGGTTTGTGCCCCGGTCCGGGAAGATCCCACATGCTACGGAGCGGCTGGGCCCGTGAGCCATGGCCACTGAGCCTGCGCGTCTGGAGCCTGTGCTCCGCAACGGGAGAGGCCACAACAGTGAGAGGCCCGCGTACCGCAAAAAAAAAAAAAAAAGATACAGCATTTTGTACCTGAAAACAATAACATAAACATGAAACAAAACTTGAAAACAATAGCATAAAGGTCAGGAAAGGGGTGATTGGGAATTAAGTATGTTAAGATCATTCTGTTGTTTGGGGAGGAAGTACAATTATTGACTCATTTTATTTATTTATTTTTAAAGTTAATTTATTTTTGGCTGCGTTGGGTCTTTGTTGCTGTGCATGGGCTTTCTCTAGTTGCGGCGTGTGGGCTTCTCATTGTGGTGGCTTCTCTTGTTGTGGAGCACAGGCTCTAGGTGTGTGGGATTCAGTAGTTGTGGCACGCGAACTCTAGAGCGTAGGCTCAGTAGTCATGGTGCATGGGCTTAGCTGCTCCACGGCATGTGGGATCTTCCCAGACCAGGGCTCAAACCCGTGTCCCCTGCATTGGCAGGCAGGGTCTTAACCACTGTGCCACCAACGAAGTCCTTATTGACTCATTTTAGATTGTTACCATGCCAAGTATGCATGCTAAACTATTTAATGAACCACAAAATAATAAAACATAAAGTATATGACCTATAAAATAGTAAAGGGAATAGAAAAATATAGAAAAAGACTCTCAATCCGCCCCCCCAATATATCAATAATAATAAATTTAAATGAGCTAAGTTATTAAGTTAAAAGTTGCTAACCTGGATTAAAACTGTGTACTTATATGTATATATGTAGTTATAAAGACACATCTAAAATATAAGGATACTGAGAGTTAGAAAGTTATATACCAGTCAAATAAAATAGTCAAAGAAAGCTGGTTTACAATATTAATATCAGCAACAAACATTATTGGAGATATAAAGAGGTATCACATAATGATAAATAGGTTCAGATTACAAGAAGGATATAATAATTGTAAATTTATATGTACCTAATAAGTTAGCCTCAATATATAAAAAACAAAAACAGCTGCAAGGGGATATGGACAAATCTGTTGTTATGGTGCAAGATTTTATCACTCAGTAATTGATAGATAAAACAGACCAAAAGAATCAGCCAGGATATAGAAGATTTGAACAGCACAATTAACAAGCTTGAGCTGATGGAATATGTGAAATATTTCACCTAAAAATTAGAGCAAACTCATTCTTTTCAAGCACACAGAAAATTATACCCTTTAAAATTACTAATTGTATATTATATAACTTTCACCTCAAACTATATCGAAATCAATTTTGGTCTATCATATTGGTAAAGATACATAAGTCTGATTATACATTGAGTTGTTGAATCTGTGAGGAAACAGATCCACTGTGTCATCCACTGTGGTGGGAGTGTAAATTGATAACTTCTGTGGATGGCAATATGGCAACGTTTGTCAAAATTATTAATGTCCATACCTATGACTCAGCAGTTCCATTTCTAGATAGTATCCTACAGATATACACATTTAAAAATGATATTTATTGGGCTTCCCTGGTGGCTCTGTGGTTGGGAGTCTGCCTGCTGATGCAGGGGACATGGGTTCGTGCCCCGGTCCGGGAGGATCCCACATGCCGCGGAGCGGCTGGGCCCGTGAGCCATGGACGCTGAGCCTGCGCGTCCGGAGCCTGTGCTCCGCAACGGGAGAGGCCACAACAGTGAGAGACCCGCGTACCAAAAAAAAAAAAAAAAAAAAAGATATTTATTGGGAATTCCCTGGTGGTCCAGTGGTTAGGACTTGGGGGCTTTCACTGCCGGGGCCCGGGTTCAATCCCTGGTCGGGAAACTAAGATCCCACAAACTATGCAGCACGGCCAAAAAAAAAAAATGTTTATTCAAGGTGATTCATTGCAGCATGCTAATAAATTAGGGACTAGTTATGTAGCTGTATAAAACAATGAGGAGGCTCTTTAGGTACTTCTACTAGAACATCACCAAGTTAAATTAAGTGAAAAAATCAGAATGCAGAGAGTATGCATAGTATGATCCTATTCGTGTAAAAATGGTGGAAGCCTATGTTTTTGTTTCTTTGTGCATAAAGTGTCTTTATTTTGAAGAATACAGAGGAAACACATAACATTGGCTGCAAGTAGATGGAATTTGAATGCCTAGGAGATAGTGGAGGGAAGAAAAATTTTCACTGTATGCCTCAGGGTTTTATATATGTGTATATGATTTTGTCATATGTATGGGTATATATATATATATATATGTTATGTAATTTCAAATTAAATTTTAATTTTAATTTAAAAATTTAAAAGGAACAGAAAATAACCAGTCATCTAAGACTGATCAAAAGCCACGCCAGTGAGCTCTTGCTCTTTGCTGATATTTATTATGTGCTGCCTTATGGCTCTGAAGTTTGTGAATTACCAAAGTATGCTTCTTGAGAGTTAGAATAGTGTTTTTTGCATCTTTATATACATACCTATAGTGTCCATAGCCCAATGCTTTTTATGTAGTTGAAATTAGTATGTTGGTTTAATTCTATTTTTTAACAAGACTGTGTTATACTTGTTGAGTTTTTATATTATTTCATTTGATATAACTTGCTGTGAAGTGGGCTTTTATTTGCATGGGACATTTTCTGTGTTTCCAAATAAGAATGTGTAATTTTGGCTAAATATTTTAACTTAAAGTAATTTGTTGCATGTAAGTCACTCAGTGATAACATAATGGATTTACTGAATGTGAGGAAATGATCTGTTAGGTCCTTTTCAACTCTGTACAGAAGAATAATTGAATGAATGAATACATTTTAGTAGTACAAGAGGGTCAAGGAGAATACTTGCTTTATGCATTTCGGGTTCCTTTTTTAAATGACCCCCCCCCCCCGAAAAAAAGACACCTTTGGCTGATCGGGTCATCTGTGTTATTAAACTATATTATATTAAACTATTACTAACTGATTCAGTTATTAATGCCAGTGACATTTTAATTAACAGCATAGTTTTATAGGGTTGTTTTCAAACTGTCCAGTTTGTCAAACAAATCCATTTGGCTAGATGAAAGAAAAATTTATGCATTACCTCATACTTTTGCTTTGTGTTTCCTCCTATTTCTTTGGTTTGTCTGATTATTAAATTTCGCTTAACACAGTGCTTTGGTATTTCATTTCCGATGTTGAATCTGAAACTGTTGTCAGGGATATCAGTTCTTTGTGTAAGTGTCTTTTAATGGCAGTGTATGTAGGGTGAATAGGAAGGAAACAAAGGAGTTACAGAGATACAACAACCTAAAGTAAAAGGTCCAAAACTTTTTCTCATTATTTTTTGTTGCCAGGAAATAATGAAGAACAAGGGCTTAGTGCAGTGAATGAAAGAATGTGCTGCCCTTAATGTAAATTTTAAAAGCTGGAAACTTAGGTTCTATTATAAATTGGTCTTGGCTATTTTCCATATAGGAAAAAAATGTGAATTTATGTCCATTTACATTCTTTGCATTTGCATGTGATATTCTTCTGCTTGGTTCTGCCAGTGAGTTAACTCCATGTTCCTCCCCACAGGGTGGAGAATGCTTGCACCAAGCTTGTCCAGGCAGCCCAGATGCTTCAGTCAGACCCTTACTCAGTGCCTGCTCGAGATTATCTAATTGATGGATCAAGGGGCATCCTCTCCGGCACATCAGACCTGCTCCTCACCTTCGACGAGGCTGAGGTAGACAACCTGAGGCCCATGCAGACCTCTTCCAGACAAAAAGCCCAGCCTTAAAAGATAATAATGGAGGATTGAGGATTGTTTAGGATGACAAAATGTTGACTAGCTACACATCTGAATGACTGTGTTTTTTACTTATCGTTTACTCAATTGACTGAATACTATGAAATATATTTTCAGGTTCGTAAAATTATTAGAGTTTGCAAAGGAATTTTGGAATATCTTACAGTGGCAGAGGTGGTGGAAACTATGGAAGATTTGGTCACTTACACAAAGAATCTTGGACCAGGTTAGTCATATCCTACTTTTATAGCAGAATTTTTTATGGATTGTCCATGTTTGATCAAGAGGAAAGGGGTACTCCTCCCTACTTTTTTTGTGGAAGATAGGTAATGATGCATTGAACTTTTAGTTGTCTCTACTCTGTTGATGGAGCTGACTCTGTGCTTCTACTGAAGAGATATCATTGTCTCTGAAAGCTGAATCTGCTTTCTACAGATCCTGGCCCTGTCTAATGAACTAAACTAGACATTGCAAATGTTGCTGGAGAATGTAGGAAATAATTTCCTATTACTGCAGTGCTTAAGGCCACCCTGAATCCTGACCTCTTCATTCCACATTATACAGCATTCCTTCACTGTCTGCCAGCTGGCCTGTAGCTCTGTGTGACCTCTTAGCTTGCTAATTAGCCTGCCTACTATTATGGATTCATGCCGTTGCCCAAGCCTGCATAATATAATCAGACCTAGAAGGAGAGAAGAACTTCTGTGGCTAAATCTCTGATTGTGTAGTCATCTGAGAATTCAGTATTCAAAATACATGAACAGATACCAGCTTTTGGTGTTATAGACATATAACATGAACTTGAGGCTCCTTAAAGTATGAATTAGACCAATGACAAGACATATCAGATGTTTAATTTGTTAGTATTAAGAATCACATATTATCTTATAAAATTCTTTTGTCTTACATAAAATGTATTTCCTTGAGGTTTCAGTGCAGTCATCCTGTAAACTTAAGGCAGTTTAGAATTTCTCTGAGCTGTCATTGAAAATCGCTGGGAAATGGCTTTAGAGCAGTACCCTTTAAACTTTCTCCTAGCACTGTGAAGAAATTTTATTTCTTCAAATGAAATCTTATGCAGATGAATTGGGAGATTGGGATTGACATATATATACTACTATGTATAAAGTAGATAACTAATGAGAACCTACTGTATGGCACAGGGAACTCGGTGCTCTCTGGTGACCTAAATGGGAAGAAAATCCAAAAAAGAGGGGATATATGCAGAAACTGACACAGCAGTGTAAAGCAACTATACTCAAATTAAAAAATAAAATAGACAAGCAACAAGGATATATTGTATAGCAGGGAATTACAGCCATTACCTTGTAATAACTTTTAATGGAGTATAATCTGTAAAATACTGAATCACTATGCTGTATACCTGAAACTAATATTGTAAATGAGCTATACTTCAATAAAAAAATCTAATGAAATAATGAAAAAATAAATCTTTGCAGAATCCCAACATATAAAAGACAGAAATGGAGCTACTCTGCATGAAGCAGAGGCAGCCCCACCCTTTCCATCTCCCTCTGGGTGCCCCTTGACGATCTGTGAACCTGCTTAAGAAGTTCTAAGAGCAGTTGGAAAACCAAAGTGTTAGAGAATCACATAGTACCCTTGAATAATAACCAAAGTAGCAAAAAGTGCTAGCATGCTAACTCCAAAACACCAGATGCTTTCAAATGCTGTCATCACCATAATTATTATTATTATTTTTAAAATTTATTGTATTTATTTATTTTTGGCTGCATTGCTGTGCGTGAGCTCTTAGTTGCGGCGAGCGGGGCTACTCTTTGTTGCGGTGGGCAGGCTTCTCACTGCAGTGGTTTCTCTTGTTGCGTAGCTCGGGCTCTAGGGGCGCGGGCTTCAGCAGTTGTGGCACACGAGCTCCAGAGCGCCGTCTCAGTAGTTGTGACACATGGACTTTGTTGATCGTGACATGTGGGATCTTCCCAGACCAGGGATCGAGCCCATGTCCTCTGCATTGGCAGGCAGATTCTTAACCACTGTGCCACCAGGGAAGCTCCCATAATTATTTTTATTTGTTTCTAATTATAAAAGTGATACATCCTTATTTTGGATAAGTTGGAAAGTACAGAAAAATTTAAAGATGAAAACAAAACACATTATTGTAATTCTTAAGATTTTTTTCAGCCGCTAGTTTCTTAGCCCAGGCACACCTTGCTTCACTTTCTTGTGCTTCACACATAACTGCGTTCTTACAAATTGAAGGTTTGTGGCAACCCTGTCTCAAGCAAGTCTATTGGTGCCATTTTTCCAATAGCATTTGTTCACTTCATGTCTCTGTGCCCCATTTTGGTAATTCTCACAATATTTCAAATTTTTTTCATTATTATATTGTTATGGTGATCTGTGATCACTGATCTTTGATGTTACCACTGAAAAGATTATGATTCATTGAAGGCTTAGATGATAGTTGGCATTTTTTAGCATAAAGTATTTTTAAATTAAGGTATGTACATTGTTTTTTTAGACATAGTGCTATTTCATACTTAATAGACTACAGTATAGTGTAGACATAACTTTTATATGCACTGGGAAACCAGAACATGCCTGTGACTCGTTTTATTATGATATTCACTTTATTGCAGTGGTCTGGAACTGAATCCGCAGTATCTTTGAGGTGTGCCTGTACTAGGCTCACATGAGATTCTTATACACATAGGTTCAGTGGCCAGGTACATGGCATGAAAGCTGGTATGGTAGCCAGGCAAAGTATTTTTCCCCCCACTTGTGAATTTTTTTTCAAATGTATATTTACTAATTGCAACATTTAAAAAATATTTGTGAATGTATTTATGTCAAATGTGTGAAAATTATGTCACATTTAGGATTTAATAAATTGCTTTTAATGAGAAGAATAAAGTTGCATTAATTTAGAACTGTCCTGAAAAATTCTATATCATAAATGCTAGAGTTGAGTGATAGTATCTGTTGTTTAAATAAGTGGACACTCAGTTTGGACTTTCACAGTAATTCATAATGGATTTAGGCTCAGAAAGCCAGACTCTGGATTGTTTCATGGCTCACTCTGCACAATTTATTCCCTGTGCCCAGGAATGACTAAGATGGCCAAGATGATTGATGAGAGGCAGCAGGAACTGACTCACCAGGAGCACCGAGTGATGTTGGTGAACTCAATGAACACCGTGAAAGAGTTGCTGCCAGTTCTCATTTCAGGTATTTTCTGTCTGTACTTTATCTTACAGAAAAAAAACATGTTAACATGTTCTAAACTCTGGTGTTTATTTTCTTTTGCTGTTTAGTTGCATGTCTTTCAGCCTGAGTAAAAATGCAGCTGATTAGCTAAGAACCAGTATTTATCTTCTCTAATGCTCTCCTTCTCTTGCTTTTTGTTTGAAATTGCTCTCCTGTTGCCTCATACTGTTCTCTTGAAGTTCTAACAGGCCCTTTTCTCCTCTAGAAACTCTAGTTTTGGATGTATGGATTTTGACACCTTTATTTGTACTCAGAAAAAACAATTAGGAGCTGGAATGGATATTATAGAGCACTGTATAGTAAGGAAGTGAACCCACAGCCCTTTCCTAGAAGATATTTAACTCTTCTCTACGTTGAAGAGCAGGTGGTGTACACCAACTAGGACCACGTTCCCATTGGGCAGAGCCCAGAAATGCAAACATGGTGGCTGCTCTCTCAACTAGCAAAAGGGAGTTGCACTTGTTGAGTGTCTAGTATGTACCAGACATCTCATGGTTTATGTAAATTATCTTTGTCAAGTTGTGAGTTAGTTGGTTTAAGTCTCAGAGGGCAGCTTTATTTTCAGAATTTTATAAGGCATGTCACTGTAATCGCCAGCTACTGCCTCCCTGCTTTGTAATTTCAAGTAGTAGCTAAAATAGGAGATGTGAGTGTAAGAGTTCAGAAAGCCCTTACATGAACTAGAAAACAAAAATTTGTAAATAGCGCCTTATAATCTTCTCAAAACTATGTTTTTGAGACCAACTGTTCCATATGGCAGAAAGGTTGTTGGGAAGAATCTTTCTAATCTGGGTAACTCAGTAAAGCATTGATTAATCTTTGTTTTTATAATTTTAGTTAATTTATAAGAAGATATTCTCTTCTCTAGTGTTTCGTTATTATTTTCTTCTTCACTTTTAGGGGTTAGATAGTCCCTGCTATATGTTAAGATAAATCATGGAAGATAAACTCAACACTTCGGGATCTTCCACTAGGATTGGGTCAAGCGGCATTCTTTGGTTACAGTTTTACTGACTGTTTTTATCTCGTCACATTAGGTTTGTGTTTGATGGGGCCAGTGTTAGGGCTGGGATGATAATTCATTTAGAAGGATAGTGGATATCTTGTGACTGTGGATCTTCAGTATATGCATGTTAAATTAGTTTTCTGATCATGATGTGGTGAAGTTTTGTACCTTGAGCTTTCTTAACAGTGAAGGTTGCTGATACTGGAACTTTAATGGCAGACTTGCAGTGTTTGTTTTCATATTCTTTTTTAAGACCTTAGAAGCCCAAAACATATTCACAGTGTGGAACATCTTGTGTGAATATTGTAATACAGCAAGATTAAATTCCAGGCTTAGTTTCTGATCTTTTGTTTATTTTTACAGCTATGAAGATTTTTGTAACAACTAAAAACTCAAAAAACCAAGGAATTGAAGAAGCTTTGAAAAATCGTAATTTTACTGTAGAAAAGATGAGCGCTGAAATTAATGAGATCATTCGTGTATTACAACTCACTTCTTGGGACGAAGATGCCTGGGCCAGCAAGGTAAGTGTTATTGGGGGAGAAATAAGCAAAATCCCCAATTTTCCCTTCCTGGGGATGTGATTGTCTCACATTTTTTCTTGTAATTGTGTGTAGCATAGGACTACTTAGATATTATGAAAGTATTTTCTTCTTTACTTTTGTAAAATAAAGGGTTATGGGTTACTTCCTGCTTTTGCACTTTTCCTTTGCTCTGAGGTAGAACAAACAAATAGGTATGCAGGGTGAATGTTGGTTGAAAGCTAGGATGTAGCTTTTCCTTCAAGCTGGAGTCTCATGGATTGGGCTGGTGGAGGAATTCTGGTGTTGTGTATACTCCCCTGGGTGGGAGCCCTGCCTTTCATGTGGGTGGTTGTTGCTAGGTGACTAAGTAAGATACAGAATATGCCTATGACTGAATTTTATGGAAAACTTTTCTTAACCAATTTTTGACCCAGAGAAATCTACAAAGGAAACTCTTGACATTTCTAGGTGTGTCCCTTCATCATTCTGTTTTCCTTAAAGAGAGCTTAACTGAAATATTAGTTTTCACGTTTGTCAGTTAGTTTGAGGGGTCCCTTTACCCTTGGTCTAGAATTTCCTCTTGAATTCCAGAAGGGTTGGTGGATTCCGCCTAGAGCCCAGCAGCGGTGGTTTGAGGTGCTGCTGCTCTGGTCTGCTTCTTGTCTAGTGATTGGGAACAGAGACACTTGGGTTTACACTTCCCTTGTAGGAGCCCAAGATGCAGGCAGTGGGGGGAACACATTGTCTCCAGGATCCAGCTTCCCCCACCGTGTGGACCCAAATGCTATCTCCAGGGCCACCCAGCAGGCTGGTGGCAGACTACAGAGGGGATATTGTAGTATGATTTCCACTGGGTGCCCAGTAGGGCTCTGTTTGTCCTCCAGGACACCTATAAGGTAAGGTCGAAGCTGGGGCTAAAATCAACAGTCTCTCTTTGTTGACCAGAAAGTTAAACTAAGAGTGGAGGAGAAATTAGTCAGATTGTCTTAACTATGGATTTGTTTTCAGAGGCATGAAGTTCTCGAACAAGTTCTAAGACTGTATTTTAAATCCATATTGTAAAATCATGTAACGTCTTTGATATTTTACTTAATTTTGCTTTTGCATATTTGATAACTTTCACTTCCCTGTTATGACTTCTTTATGCATCTTTTTTTTTGTTCTCTTGTTTGTTTTATTCTTTTTCTCACGTTTAGAAGGTAAGCTTTCTCTTGCCCTCTAGTTTCTTTTTTGCTTAAAAAGAGAAAAAGCATGTCTGTGAGGTTTTCTTGTGCTGTGTGCCGTGCCTCATTCCGTGTGCCGGTGTGTAACACTGTGCTTGAATATGCGTCAGAATTTGACTTAATACGGGACTCTGGGGCTGTGCTGGGCAGACTGTTTGGCTCATGTGGAGCTGTTTCTTTGGGGAAAGCAAAAGGAAAGACATTACTATGGGATGTCAGGCTTTCTATATTTGGTGGGTGCTTTCCTCTCTTTGAGCAGTCTCCTGGGAACTGTTTTGATCTGGTCGTTCCCACTGACTTCACTTGAGGGGCAGATTTCCCCAGGTAGCTGGGTGACCCCTAAGTTACCAGTGGACCTTGCTCTTAGGAAAGGAAACTTCCAGCTGTTGCTATCTCGTATTTGCCTCTCCTACCAGTTTCCTTTGCAGGCTCTGGAATTTGACTTTTGGAGATGCATCATTGAGGTTTTAAGCCATAATGAAAATGGGTAGGCTAGAGAGTCTAGATGGGGCACCTGTCCTTCACAATAATCCTAGCATTAAAAATCAAAAGGAAAAAAGTCAGGTGTACCTAAAGTTTTTCCTAACTTCAGTACCTGGCTCACTGCATGTTCTGCTATCTAAGCTGTGAATCAGCTGTTGTTCTCCATGATCTCATGTTCCTCTAATCTAATCTCTTTCCTTATTCTCTTCTCTTTGCTTCTAGCAGATGAGAAATAGTAAAAAAGAAAAGTGGGCCTTGCAACCTTAATGTTTCTCTATTTTTGGAAGGGAAAAGTCATCCATCAATTAGTAACTAAGTGTGACTGAGCTTTATTTTGTGCAAGTGCCGAGAGCTGCTTCTTTAAAAACCAAAACCAAAACCAAAACCAAAACCAAAACCGTGGTCAGTTGAGTTTTTCAGGAGGAAGATTAGGCATTTGGGGGCATATACAAGGGAAATATAAACCTGGTCTCCACTGTGTACAGTCTAATAGCTCTCTCAGTTTTATGCTGATCTGGAAGGAACCAGACTGTTAGGATGCTGTAAAACTATCAGAATGAAAGGAAATAAATAAAATTAGTTCAGCTAAAAGAAGCTTAAGTACATAATGACATCAGAATGAGCAAGAAATGTTTATTTTTTAACTTCATTTTGCTTTTGTTTTACATTTACCTGATTCAAATATCAAAATGCTATAAAGGGACTTCCCTGGTGGCGCAGTGGTTAAGACTCTGTGCTCCCAATGCAGGAGGCCCTGGTTCAATCCCTGGTCAGGGAACTAGATCTCATATGCATGCTGCAACTAAGAGTTCACATGCCACAACTAAGGAGCCGGCGAGCCACAACTAAGACCTGGCACAACCAAATAAATAAACAAACAAATAAATAAATAAATATTGAAAAAATGCTATAAAAGGATATGTGTGACACAGCTCACTCTCATCCCCATCCCTATCCACTCTACCTCCCTTACCCCCTAAGAGTAATTGTTTTTATTAGTTGCAAGAATATTTAGAAAAAATTTTACCCTGAAAATGGAAATTGGTAACTAGGGTTTGGTTATTTTTCAGTTTAGTAGCATTATGCATCTTTCATTGCTCAACTGTAAGCAGTGAATTAATCAGACCTTGTGTCTGTCTGTGACCCCTGGGTTCCCATTCTGTTTAATACATATGATATCTTTTACCTCCTCTCACCCCTACCAATAAAGAATTAACTTTGTCTTACCATACTTGTTTCATGCTTCCCCACTGGTGCAGTTTTCTCCTGGAAAGTGATGGTTCCTCTAGAAAAGTGGGGGAAGAAAGTAAGTGGAAAAAATTCTTGGTAAAAGTACGTCTTGCCGAATAAGTTAAGATTTTAAAGAGGCAATGCAATAGCTGATTATTTTACGTTTTATACCTACATTCAAATGGCAGATTTACAAATTTATAAGTACTTTGACTTTAAACACTTCACTTTATTTTGAAAATAAAAAATTTCCCCTCCTAAATCAACAATCATAATGATTATTAAAAACTATTTTAGCATTTTTCCTGGGAATACATTATGAGATAAAAGAATTTGGGGTTTAAACACAGTTCTAATTTTACCCTTTGTAAATTTAGCAATCTATATTTAATCTCTTTTTTTTTGGTATTTATATTACTTGTATCTTGACGCATGCTGAGAAGAAAGAGGAAGTGAAAAAAATTTAAAAAGCATTTCATTGCTAAGAATTTTTGAACCCTATGTAGGTGTTCCTGTAACTGCAACTTGAGTCATTAGATACTATTATTCAGAATTCGTCCCTGTGGTGTGTCTCCTCCCACAGTGGGCCTAGGTTGGTGGTGGGTAAATGTAGTGAGTGACTCAGATGTCTTGCACAGATTACTCTAGTCTACCAAAGAAGGAAATGCTGGTTAGAACATGCAATCCTATAATAACTTGCCCTTACTGCAGACCATTGAGGATTTAAGGGTTGATTTTTATTTCAGTTTTGAAAAAAATAAGGTTATATATGAGCTTTTTATGAGTCTTTTAGTATTCTATTATGCAGTATTAATTTTAGTATTCTAGTATGCAGCTAATACAACAAAGGATTTATCTTTTGGAGTTTGAGATAAATAGTTAATTTAGGTATATATAATATTTCATCCTCCCCCCCAGCCAAAGGAGAAAAGCCCAACATGGTACAGGAATTGACATTTCCCTTCTGATCCAAGTGATCTTTTAGTTGGTATAACTGATTGTGTGTGCATAGGTGGCACAGAAGCACTGAGAAGGTATTCTTGGAGATGAGGAACTGATGCCTGGGAGGGTAGATTGCCTGAAGGCTCAGGGCTAGATGACTTTCTCTCCAAGGTTAAATGTAGTTTATAAGATTTTGTTCTACGGCCCAATTTATCTTTCCAAAAACATCTTTGTTTAAAACACGGACTTGAGGGTAGAAATGTGGTCAGGAATGGGCTGGAGTGAGAAGGGTGGGGTTGGGAGGTGTTAGTGGAAAAGGGAGAGTAGCTTGGGCAGTGAATGAGAGGGGGTCCTTAGTCCCAAATTAAAAATTTTCAAGAGCCTGGGAACGGAGAAGCTCGCTTTCCCTACCACAGTTCCTCTTGATCGTCTGTGGGAGGAACTCAGTGGTTCTTGGTATTATTCAGTGTTCTTTAGGTCTAACTTTATATTAAATTTCAGAAGTGTTTCAGGTCCTGGAAAAGCATGTAAAAAGGAGTCTTTTAGGTTGTCCTTCTGACTTCTGGTATATGTGGCAGAGTGCCAAGGCACTATGGTTTTTCTCATTTAAAACCTGAACTCATCAGAGTTTTACAGTAAAACGGACCAGAGCAGGAGGGTATCAGATCCCTGACAGCTGTCCCCAAAGCTACATGACTAGATCTGGTCTTTTTTATATTCACTCTTTAAAAAAAAGAACAACAACAACAACAAAAACAGAGAAGAGATTGGTGGAGACTTTTCTTGTTCCCAAATTTGAGATTTTACAGAGAACAGTACTTATTGAGGGTACAGTTTTTTCCTCTTCTATTTCATACCCAGAGTGTATTCTGAGTACTTAGACCTACATGACAAGGTTTAACAAAAAGCTTTATGGTACATAGTGTAGTTGACCCCAGAGTTATGACTATTTTTACCCTTTATAAATATATCTCAAAATTGCTTCTTAGTCCTAGTTGTTCATTGAATTTGTTTATATTATAGCCGGTGTTAGTATACTTCTTTTGTTGCTTATGTCAGAATTCTGTCAATTCCATAACAAACACTGCCCTTCAAAAGAAATTCTTAAGAGACCAAAATATTTGTTCCCACAGACATTTTTGCTTTTAATAGATATGACATTAAAATGTATTGTGTTTAAATGATTCTTTACAATTTGCTCTGTTCCAGAAAGAATTTAAGGTGGCCCTCTCAGTGACTGTTTTAAATCTCCAAAATTGTCTAAAATTCATGCTCTTAAAAACTTTGGTAACTAATTGAAATTCCCAGTGTAAAAATGCAGCTTCATTGCAAATTTGCCATTGATTATTTTTAGGAGAAAATGAGCATCTCTTAATGTTAAATTCTTGATATTCTCACATCTCATACTCAGGACTAAATTAGTCACATCCTGAGAATCAGATTCTTTCCTTGAAGCATGGTGACCACGCTTTATTAGGGAGAAAAAAGCAGTGACTTTTGAGGATACTGAATAGAGCAAAACTAGTTTTTCTATTGTGTTTCAAATCATTTTGGGGCAGTGGAGAATAAAAGCAGTTATTTAGGTTAGTGAGGATTATGAATTTGATTTATAGAGCTAATTTTCTGGGCAGTATTAACCAAGCCAGAATTGGCAAGGCAAAAGATTTGCTGACTACTGTAAAAGGTTAGTGGAATCTTTGGCAACTCTCTTTGGTAAAAGAAAAAAATTCTTGAATTTCATCTAATAGAAAATAATGAGGTTTGAGATCAAACTGTGTTTCTATGACTGAGCCCCTTAATTTATAAAATTAAATTACATTAAAAATTGAAGTTCAATGAAGCAATGAGGGAAAAAATGCCTAAAATAGAACCTAACATGTAGGAAGTGCTCAATTAAGATTAGTTTCCTAACTGGTAGCCTTTAATGCTAGAATAGACACTGAAAAATTTCTGATCTTTGTTTCCCCTTGAATTGAGATTTTTGAAATGTTATAAGTATCTATTGTTTTTTTTTCACTGAAAATATAAGTGTATTAGAGAAATGGTTATTAATAGATTTTAAATTAAGTATTTTTCCATGGCTATAATTCCTCTTCTTCAGAATGTGCACAATACTTCCTAGGTGAGAGATCATGAATTTTTTTTTAAATCTGTATCTAGACAAAGTCCTATAACTGGTATTAGACCTTAAAGGCTATCCGACTCTCTGAGGTTGGGTGTTGCCTGCGACTCTCTTTAAAAAGATATTGATTTGGGCCTTGCTAATTTGGAATTAAGCTAAAGTTGACTTTTGAAGACAAGGCTTGCTGTACAGATTAATTTGAACTAGATGAAGGAAGAGCAAATATTTAAACCATTTGAGAATCAAAGCACTTAAAAAATGCCACTTGTCTACTTACAGTACTAATGACAGATGGATTTTGAAATAGATCCTCTTATGACTGCCTTTTATTGATAGATGGCTATCATAATTTCATATAACTTGATAATAAAAATATTTTATTTCCATTTTTTCAGTAATTTAGTTCACTTCTTTTCAGTTGCCATGGCTGAGAATTTGTTATTTAGAGCCTTAGATAGCCAAATCTGTATCTGTTTAGATGGGGAAAGAGGGAGTCCAAAGCTGAGAGTCCTGTAATTTGAATAGGTACTTTGGAAAAGCTGGTGTCGGGCTGCTGACCTTAAGCCTAATTATGAGTGCTCCCAACGCTTATTGGTGCTGCTGCTGGGTTTTGTTTGAATTGGACGTGGGGATGCTCCTAGTGCCCCCATGTGGAAAACTGGTGGCACCACACCTTGAAGAACCCCGGTTTGCAGGACTGGAAATTGAAAAAAGGTAGGGATTTAAGGCGTTGCCTAGAGTTTCAGAGGTTAACTCTGTGCTTTGATGGATGGGCTCTGTAAGATCCAGTTCCCTAAGCAAAAGGGAGAGAGGCTGTCTTTTAAGGTGTTAAATAGACTTAAGAGATGGCCAGTCTGTCAGTTGTGAGGATGGGTACGTGCATATTTGTTATATTGTTTTCTGTATATCTATTTACTTAAAAAACTTTATTAAAACATATGTATATTTTAAAAGTGATTAGTCTGTTGTTTGGACTTCTCATGCTATATCCTGGGAGATTTTATGCTAGTTTTATGCAAGTCATTATGAATCCTGATTTTAAACAATAAATTGAGACCCACTTATTTTATCCTGCCTCTTCTTCCAGATTAGGGACGGTAAGGGAACTAAGGATGAGGAGTGGCAGGGAAGGCCCGAAAGACACTTCTTTCTTGTATTACATTTGGTGGTTTACTTGTGGAATTAAAACTGAATTGCTAGATTAAAATTTTCAGCTTTCTTCCAGCCAGTAATTCCAGGTTTTTCAGATTAAACATAGTGAAACATCAAGCAGTGTGTGTATATTTCAAAACAAGATGTAGAAGAACTGTGGTTTGTGGTGCCACATGCTAATGAGGCTTCCCTGAAGCGGGGAGAGCTTTGGCAGGGCTGCAGTAGATGATTGTTGACTAGTGGAAAGGCTGATAATGAGGCATGTGACAAGAGGACTTTTTCCAGCTGAAGACATTGAACATCTTTTGGCTTGAGCAGTTTTACCAGTTTTCACAGTTTAGCAATAGGGAGACTAGGAAACAGAATTAACTGAAGATTTGCATGCAAGATGCTGCATTTTGACAGAAATAAGCGTTATGGTGTGATGAGAATATTTTTAAGGCTGTTGTAGGACTACCGTAGCTATTGTATGTTAATGGTGTAACTTCTCTGTCTTACTTTGTATCATGGTATCTTAGTTTTTGCAAAGAAAATACTTGTGGTATTTTTCTTCAAAAGGACACTGAAGCCATGAAGAGAGCGTTGGCCTCCATAGACTCCAAACTGAACCAGGCTAAAGGTTGGCTCCGTGACCCCAGTGCCTCCCCAGGTAACCCTCTGGTTCTACTTTTCTGATAGATAACAGCAAAAAGCTAAAAACCAGGCAAACAAAAGAAAAAGAAAAAAAAAAGAAAAATCATTTCGTAATCTCATAATCCTGAGATAACTACTGCAACATTTAGGGGCATACTCCGTTCTCTGATAGTTTTGACTAATTGAAGTATTACTGGTCCTTAAAAGGATGAAGGGCATAGACTACCTCTCATCACAGAGGAATAAAGCAAAGTGAACTGGGCATTCTTTGCCAAATTATTGGTTCACCCCTTCCCTGAATCAGAAAGGTAATTATTTTGAATGAAAGCTCTTCTTTTCTAGTTTCCGTTGGGCAGATTTCCATTTACGTCAACAGAGTACTTAATTAAGCAGATGAAATGATGATGCTAACAAGAATTGGGAAGCAAAGTTGACTTGTATAAAGATAAGACCCAAATAGGTTATTGAGCTAGGCATTATGGATTTTCTAATCTAATATTTATTCAGTTTTAGATTAATATTTGAATGAATGTGAAAAGCCTAATGGAGTTTAGAGGCGTTGAGTACTATTGAATTGTTAGAGCCTACTTTCATCATTCACATGCTTACCACAAACTGCTTATTATCTCCAGATGGGTATGGTTCCAAGGATCTTTTTGAGCAGTCTCTGTGGTTAAAACCTCACCCTATGGTTGTAAGGGCAGTGCTTGGCTGTTAGCTATCAGATGTATTGCCTTCTATTCACTTGTCATTTAAAATCATCCATTCCTTCATGAATGAAATGACTTGTAAAGCAACCTTTCTAAATAATTAATGGATCAACAATGTAGATATTGAACAGCTCTCTCTCTCTCTCTCTCTCTCTCTTTTTTTTTTTTGGCTGTGCCACCTGGCTTGAGGAATCTCAGGTCCCCGACCAGGGATCGAACCCAGGCCATGGTAGTAAAAGCCTGGAATCCTAACCACTAGGCCACCAGGGAACTCCCTTGAAAATCTCTTTGTTTTAGGTGATGCTGGTGAACAGGCCATCAGGCAGATCTTAGATGAAGCTGGAAAAGTTGGTGAACTCTGTGCGGGCAAAGAACGCAGGGAGATCCTGGGAACCTGCAAAATGCTAGGGCAGATGACTGATCAAGTGGCTGACCTCCGAGCCAGGTAAAGTTCCTCTGCTCTCACCAGAGCAGTAGTGGTAACAGTTGGGATCTCGCTCCTGATGGAGTGATTCAGAAAGCAAGTTTCTGTGAATTTTACTGAATTCTCTTTGGCTAATAGATAATGTAGATATTATATTCTACTAATTCTTTTGAGATTGGAGTGAATTTTCCTTTTGTTGAACTTTTAAAATATGTAGATGCCTTATCGTAAAGTTGAAATCTGTTTTTTTAGTTTCTAGCCATAGGCTTATGAAAAATAAGGTGCATAGATATCTTTTATGAAGGCTGGATAGAAAAAAAACATAAAGAGTGAAAACGTTGGAATTATTTCACATGTCATTTTAAAAATCAGTTAAATAGATTATCCTCTACGTTGGTCATTTCTAGGCTCTTTTGAGTTTCTATTTCATCATTATTCCTTTGGTTTTATAATTCTTTTACCTCTCTCTTACCCACCTCAAGTCTTGGCTTTTAGGATCCACCCCCATTCCCCCAAATTAAATATGTATAGTTTGCTATTAAGAAAACTCAGTATAATATAGGTTTGTTTGGAACTCATACATATAGTTAATGAAGTTCTAAAAGATTCTCATCTTTATGGAATTTTATAGTACGGACATTGTGAAAAATTGAGGTATGATGACACACTAGTATAAATGAAATTTAATTTTGCTTCAAGATTGTCATGAAACGTCTTGAGATAATTGGAATACAGTATAAGGTCTCCCTACAAACTAAGGCTTCAGGAACACGCCTTGACGTGTTGCACACCATTACACCTAGCCTCAAATGTATTAACATAATGGACTTAAGAATATAGTTTTTTTTTTTTTTTGCAGTACGCGGGCCTCTCACTGTTGCGGCCTCTCCCGCTGCGGAGTACAGGCTCCTGACACGCAGGCCCAGTGGCCATGGCTCATGGGCACAGCCGCTCCGCAGCATGTGGGATCCTCCCAGACCGGGGCACGAACCCATGTCCCCTGCATCGGCAGGTGGACTCCCAACCACTGCGCCACCAGGGAAGCCCAAGAATATAGTTCTTAAAGGAGTGGTTCCTGACCTTTCTTGGACCAAGGTCATTTTTTTTTTTTTTTTTTTTTTTAAATGCAAGCATGTTTATGTTTTGTTTTGTTTTTTGCGGTACGCGGGCCTCTCACCGTTGTGGCCTCTCCCTTTGCGGAGCACAGGCTCCGAACGCGCAGGCTCAGCGGCCATGGCTCACGGGGCCCAGCTGCTCCGCGGCATGTGGGATCTTCCCGGACCGGGGCACGAACCCATGTCCCCTGCATCAGCAGGCGGACTCGCAACCACTGCGCCACCAGGGAAGCCCCAAGGTCATTTTTATAATTTGATGAAAGCCATTAATCTCTACCTAAAAAGTTACATATAAACATGCCCATACAATACTATATGTAATTTCCAGAGGTTCATGGATTCACTGTAGCCCTGGAAGCTCCACGGGCTTCAGGTTAAGAGCCTTTACCTTAAAGGGAAGAAGGAACAGCATAAATAAATGTGATCTCATTGAGTGCAGTGGGCCTTTTCTCTTGCTGTGAAGCAGTCTCCTCTGCCATGAGCATGCCAAGAACTTTACAGAAAGGACAAAAAAGAAGTTCTGTTCCCATTTGGAGAAATGCCAATGCAGTTTGACAAGATTCTTGGCTCTTCTAATTTCTCACTGCTGGCTCTTTTGTCTGCAGCCTTTTCACAGTGTGGTAGACAGTTTTCAGTTGGAATTCTCAAATACACAGTTGTATGTATTTAGAGAAAGATGAATCTGAGCAAGAGAACGAGGTAGTTGCTGTACAGGACCGACCATAAATCTGTAAAGAGAAAAGGTTGGAACAGTGAGGAGCCTCAATGGGCCTGCTTCACACTGGAGTCTGCGATAGCCTTTCACAATGAAAGATTACAAAGCTGTCTCCTTGTTATCCTTTCTTAAATATGCCTAGCTTTCTAACAGCTTAGTGGCTGAAACTCAGTAACAATTTCCTCTTTGGTATTCTTCTATTCAGTCACCTAGAGTTTCTAGGGTTGTAAGTATATATTTTCCCCTCCATGGTACTCAAACTTTTTATTTTGAATGAAAAATTATGCAACCCATAAATATTTTTACTTTTTCACAGTTGGACTCTTACACAAACAACGTTCCTCATAATGAATTAGTAGATTTGAAGGAAAAAAGCAAATTAAAACATAAAAAGTATATTTCCAAAAGTCTTAGACTCCTCTGCCATGTAAAAGGGAGGTGTCAAGTACAAGTAAAAGGTATATATATATACCTGGTAGTAAATATTATTGAGTTCACTACCTCAAATATTGGTATACATGAAAAACATATAAATTTAAAAAGAGGATAGGTAGATGAATGACACATCCATAATATTATTAAGGGAAGCAAAGATGTTTTGTAGTCTATCCTAAAATCAGAAACTCAGGTTATGATGATCAGCCATTCCATTCAACCAAATGATAAAGTTGCCACCCCTATCATTGAGTTTACCAGGCTGGGTGGATTCAAAAATATGAGTATAAAAAGATGGCAAATCTTACTTTGCTATGACCTGGGAAGTCTCTAACAAAGGGAAAACAAATTTCTACTAACTCACATCATTTTTTTGTAGTAGCAGCATACCACTTCTGAGAGAGGAAAATAGTGAAATTAGTTCTTTAGGAACATGATGAGAAATAATGGTTTCTTGTCCTTGTGTGCCCTTTTCCTTCAGTACTATCTGGTTTTGATACTTATAGGTTGCATAGGAGTGGAAGGTAGATATTTAAGATTACCATTAGGTTATGATAATGACAACTCTGTAATAACAATAGTCACATGTGTATTGCTTTATTGCCAAAGTATTTTCAAGTATTTCTTTTTGCTTGATGCCACTCTGTTTGATAAGCAGGGCCAGTATTATTACCTACCTACCCCTCATTTTCTAAGTTAGAAAACTGAAGCCCAAGGAAGTTAAACATTGTACCCAAGGTTCCTCAGGTAGCAGAAGCCAGGATTTGAACAGACATCTACTTGGTCCCAGTGTGGTGTGCTTTCAGTAGCACTATGTGTGCTGCCTCCTGAAACATTTTCAATGTATACTTGCCCATAAATAAGATAATCTAATGGGCTGTTTATTTCTAAAGCATATGTACTATGGTAACAAAACCTTCCATAGCAATAAGATCACAAGCACATTTCCCTCCTGAAGATTAGGTTTGATTATGTAATCACCACCAAGAGGAAAATCAATATCAAAATGTGCAAGTCTGGTCTTTAAAGTGGTTATGCAGTTCCTTGAAGCTACTGTGTATTATTTTTCAGAGCAAAGGAGAAATTAGATGGTTTGGGTGTTTTGCTTTGTCTCTCTCTGTGTTTCCTTGTGTTATCGCAGATTTAGTAGAAAAGGAAAAGGACAAACATGTTAGTAAAAGAACATATGCTGTGCTTTTAGTAATATTTTGCCATTAAGAATTTGAGAGAGTACAACAGCAGCATCTATCTGTTTGAGCAGAGGACAAGGAGCCTCACCGGTGGCCATGCAGAAAGCCCAGCAGGTGTCTCAGGGTCTGGATGTGCTCACAGCAAAAGTGGAAAATGCAGCCCGCAAGCTGGAAGCCATGACCAACTCAAAGCAGAGCATTGCGAAGAAGATTGATGCTGCTCAGGTAGCGATGATGATTTTTAGCAAGGGTGGGAAATAAAGGAGAAAGAGAAGTGTTCCATAAATATACTGTATCCCTCTCCCCCTAACTTTCTATGGGTGGATAATGGGTGTTTCTAAGTGATGACTGATACACACTAGTTGCCAATGTTAACACGTCCCCTACCACCACAGGCTTAAGGCTAATGTTTATCCATATTTTGAAATAACGATCTTAATTTTGAATTCTTCAGTTAGTTAAAAGTAAGCATTCTGAGTACCATTCCCCTAGCTCCTGATGGAGATTACAGTATGTTAAACCTGTTATTCATCTCAGAATTCACAACTGTGTTTGGTCATAGCAATGTAAAAGGGTTAAAGCTTTCTGATATTACTCTACTATAAAATGATTTTCAAGCATTTCATGAAGAAACATAAATGTTTAAGAAACTGAAGAATTAATAAGGTGTGATTAATTCAAAGCTAAAGCTCATGAAGATATTTTATCCTAATGAGAAAGAAAAAAATCATTTTTAAAAAGATGAAGGGGGACTTCCCTGGAGGTCCAGTGGTTAAGACTCCGAGCTTCCACTGCAGGGGGCATGGATTCGATCCCTGGTCTGGGAACTAGGATCCTGCATGCCGCACATGCAAATATTAATATCTCTATAAATAAATAGCTGAAGGATTGATTTGGTTTTGCCTGAGTAAGAACTGATGTAAAATAATAAGGATCAGCATTATAAAAACAATTGCTGGTATGCCTTATGGTTACTTTTTTTTTTTTTTTTTTTTTTGTGGTACGCGGGCCTCTCACTGTTGTGGCCTCTCCCGTTGCGGAGCACAGGCTCCGGATGTGCAGGCTCAGCGGCCATGGCTCACGGGCCTAGCCGTTCCGTGGCATGTAGGATCCTCCCGGACCAGGGCACGAACCCGTGTCCCCTGCATTGGCAGGCAGACTCTCAACCACTGCCCCACCAGGGAAGCCCTTATGATTACTTTGGAAATATTTCTGATGGCCTTGTTAAGTTTAGTAAAATTGGTTCATGAGTAGATCACAGTGTGCTTCTTTTCTATTTCTGTGTGTGTAGAATTGGCTTGCAGATCCAAATGGTGGACCAGAAGGAGAAGAACAGATTCGAGGGGCTTTGGCTGAAGCTCGGAAAATAGCAGAATTGTGTGATGATCCTAAAGAGAGAGATGACATTCTACGTTCTCTTGGAGAAATATCTGCTCTGACTTCTAAACTAGCAGATCTACGAAGACAGTATGTATTTAATCAATTAAATTGTCCTTTAATCTCTCTCTTTTTCTCCCTAAGCACATATATAGTTGAAATTTATAGGTTAAATGCACATATGATACTCTTCCATTGTCTTCTTATTGATTCTTTGTGACGTGGTGAGGGCAGATATTTTTAAATTAATAATTTTAGGATACTAAGAACTATTTTTTAAAAAAATATTTTTAAGAGATCTATTTTTAAAATTAATTAATTAATTAATTTGGCTGTGCCGGGTCTTCATTGCGGCATGCGGGATCTTTAGCTGCAGCATGTGAACTCTTAGTTGCGGCATGAAGGATCTAGTTCCTTGACCAGGGATTGAACCCAGACCCCCTGCATTGGGAGCACAGAGTCTTAGCCACTGGACCACCAGGGAAATCCCTGAGATCCATTTTTTAAAATTTCTAAGCTAGGACATACTACTACACCTTGTTTGTGACTTGTCTGTTTCCCAGGCATATGAGGAAAATAACTTTTGTGGCTAGCTATGAAAAGCTTTGTGTGTGTGTGTGTGTGTGTGTGTGTGTGTGTGTGTGTGTGTGTTGGGGTGGGATGGGGAGGCATAAGAAGATAGTTTCTTCCTTGACCAGCAGTGTTACTTCTTATGTAGCAATTATAAAAGATCCTTAAATATAACATCCTCACTGCAGGTTCTTCTCTTAAGGGGATTTTTTTTTTTTTTTTAAATCGGTGAGACAGATAAGGCTTTCATAGCATCTACTTTGATTGTATAGAAAAGAAGTGTCACTTTCTCCTTTTGAAAGATATTTTTATGTCTTAAAAAAAAAACAACTGCATCATATGCTAAAAAGAACATTAAAAAAGTGTACAATGGCAAAAGTAAGAGTTGCTTCTCTCCCACCTCAGTCCTCCAGTCACTTCTCCAGGAATAACCATAGTCAAGTATCTTGTGAGATTCGACTTTTCATTTAACTTGTGTATTTCACTCCCTATTCTTCCACAGGAGAGTGCCTAACCTTTTTCCACAGAGGTACTTTAGAGTCCTTTCAAATCTTATATTGGGTAAGAGACCAACGTTAGCTAAGAAAGCAGACTTCTGCCTCAGACCTTGAAATAGGAATGAGTGGGAGCAGGGTGGGTATACTTTAGGCAGGAGGTTGTGGTGATAGAGAGCAGCTTAAGTAATAGCTCAAGTTTGATTCTATATCAAGCTCAATCATTTGGGGGGTCACTATTTTATACCCCAAATATAAAATTATGTAGGTGGGAAAATGTATAATTGGACAATTGTAAAGTAATATATGTCTACAAATTTTGGTCTCTGTTCATTAATATTGGCTAATTAATATAGTCTTTACATTTTTACTAGATTTAAAAATACTCAGAGGAGGAAACTATGTTCTCAGGATCCTAACACAGGTCCATATACATAGCAGGCACTCATTAATGTTTCTTAATGATGAAGAGAGAATTAATGATAATAGTGATAACAGCAGACCAAGTTTGGTCACATGCCATCATTACTTATTCCTATTATCTATCTATCAATCAATCAATCTATCTATCTATCCATCTATCTATCTGTCTATCTAAAACTTCCAGGCAGCAGGAGTAGCTATGATCAGAACCATAGTAATTATCTTCTTTGTCCAGCTTTATAATGGAGAAAGTATGAAAGTTTAGAATCATAAAGGAACTTTTAAGATAGTATCTAAATTAGTCATTCTGTCAGGTAGACTAAGATTTGCATTTTTATCGGTGAGCCAGATGTGATTATCCTGAAGTTTACTTTTCTATGACCTAGTGGACTTGAGATATAAAATGAGTCAGATTTGAGATGGCAGGCTCAGGGGCCACCTAACCTAGTGATGACTGATCGAGCTCAGCTTACCAAATGGTTGAGCTTGGTTGAGCCAGACTGACCAAACTCATATTTAACTACAACATATTTAACTGTCTTAACGAGGCAAAACAATCAGAATTTATATTATTAATTTCTTATTTAAGGGTCAAATAGATAAATCCCTCTCCTTTCAAACCAAGTTAATAATAATCATTAGCAGTTTGTCATCTCATTAGCATTTGTATTAGCAATTAAGTCATCTCAATGTAAAGAGTGTCTTTGTGTGACAGGATGGCTATTTTTTTTCTGCAGGGGAAAAGGAGATTCCCCAGAGGCCCGAGCATTGGCCAAACAGGTGGCCACGGCCCTACAGAACTTGCAGACCAAAACCAACAAGGCAGTGGCCAACAGCAGACCTGCCAAAGCAGCTGTCCACCTTGAGGGCAAGATTGAGCAGGCACAGCGGTGGATTGATAATCCCACAGTGGATGACCGGGGAGTTGGTAAGATCATCACTGCACTTATTAATCCTCATTAAACTTATTACAGTGAAGATAAGCAAGTTGTTGATAGAGATCCTGTATCATCTGTAATTAGGTACAGAAGGGGTTCTTTAGCCACTGGTGAGTAAGTCATTCCACAGTGTGACTCCATCTCCAAATGTAGCCAATAAATTTCCTGTGATTTAATCAAGAAGTATTAATAAATAAATGATTTTGCTGCAGGCAAATAGAAAATTCCTCAGGTTGCAGCTGAAACTTTGAGCTAATTATTTCCAGTCTATGTATACTTTCATTCTGTTGTATTTCTGTTATTACAGTCCTTAGTTAAGTTCACAGTTAAATATAATTTTTGAAAATAAGTAAAAGACACTTAACTACCAAGGTTGTTTTCAGTTGTGAGGGCTCCTGTATCACACAATCACCTGTAGAGTTGCTAACCTAAAATTTTGATTTTTGAGAGAGTTTAGGAATGGATCTATAAGAATTTAGGTTGTATTATGATAGCAAGCTGAAAGATCTATTTATTTCATTTGCTGTGTTCATTGGAAAAAGATAAAATTTTTAATTGGTGATTCCCAGTGTGGGGGAATCAGGCAGACATATAGTTTACTGGTGGAGGAATAAATTGGTACAAATTTTCTGAGTGGCAATTTGGAATTATATGTCAAGAGCTTTAAAAAAGTTCATACCCATTGACTCAGCTATTTGACTTACAGGAATTTATTCTAAAAATAATTAGAGATGTTTCTAAGGAGTTACATATGAGAATATGTAAATAGTGTAAATATTTAATAATATTAACAGTTATGGTTCATATGATAAAATGTTGCATAGAGTTAGATCATGATTTTTGAATAATATTTTTTTTTTTGAATAATATTTAATGATGTAGAAAAATGCTCACGTTAAATAAAAAGAAGCAAGGAGTAAAAGTTAATGTATAGTATGATCCCGGTTTTATAAAAGAGAAATGTATGTATGTATAGGAGCATGCAATGCATTCAAAAAGACTGGAAGGAAATGGTCAAATATATCAGTCTCCAAGTGATGGGATTATGGGTAGTTTATATTTTTTTACGTTTTTTATATTTCCCCAGTTTTTTGTCTTGATAGGGGAAAAAACCCCACTAACCCCACTAAATGTATTATTAAGAAAAGAAATCCTTACTAGAATGGCACAGTGGTTGGCTTCTCCTGGTCTATGTGAGTTTCAGTGTTTTCCTCTTGGTGCAGGTCAGGCTGCCATCCGAGGGCTTGTGGCCGAAGGTCATCGTCTGGCAAATGTCATGATGGGGCCTTATCGCCAAGATCTTCTTGCAAAGTGTGACCGAGTGGACCAGCTGACGGCCCAGCTGGCTGACCTGGCTGCCAGAGGGGAAGGGGAGAGTCCTCAGGCGAGAGCCCTTGCATCTCAGCTCCAAGATTCTTTAAAGGTAGAACTTGGGAGCACATATCATTACATTTCTTTCTTTCTTTTTTTTAGAAATAAATTTATTTATTTAATTTTTGGCTGCGTTGGGTCTTTGTTGTTGTGCACGGGCTTTCTCGAGTTGTGGTGAGCGGGGGCTGCTCTTCATTGCAGTGTGCGGGCTTCTCATTGCGGTAGCTTCTCTTGTTGCGGAGCTTGGGCTCTAGGTGCACGGGCTTCAGTAGTTGTGGTGCACAGGCTTTAGTAGTTGTGGCACGCGAGCTCAGTAGTTGTGGCTCGCGGGCTCTAGAGCTCAGGCTCAGTAGTTGTGGCGCATGGGCTTAGTTGCTCCGCAGCATGTGGGTTCTTCCTGGACCAGGGCTCAAACCCATGTCCGCTGCATTGACAGGCAGATTCTTTTTTTTTTTTTTTTAAGACTAATGGGGAAAACTCCCCATTGCCTATTTTTTTATTTTTATTTATTTATTTTTGGCTGCATTGTGTCTTCATTGTTGCACGCAGGCTTTCTCTAGTTGCATCGAGTGGGGGCTACTCTTCGTTGCGGTGCGCGGGCTTCTCATTGTGGTGGCTTCTCTTGTTGTGGAGCACAGGCTCTAGAGCACAGGCTCAGTAGTTGTGGCGCACGGGCTTAGCTGCTCTGCAGCATGTGGGATCTTCCCAGACCAGGGCTCGAACCCATGTCCCCTGCGTTGGCAGGCGGATTCTTAACCACTGCGCCACCAAGGAAGTCCCGACAGGCGGATTCTTAACCACTGCGCCACCAGGGAAGTCCCTCATTACATTTCTTATGCTTACTATTATTCAAAAATTAGGAGGGAGAGTTTTTAAAAAATATAATTTCTTGAGTCTAGGGAAAGTGAAAAAGGTGTGATCAAGAATATAAGGAGGGGCTTCCCTGGTGGCGCAGTGGTTAAGAAACCGCCTGCCAATGCAGGGGACACGGGTTTGAGCCCTGGTCCAGGAAGATCCCACATGCTGCAGAGCAACTAAGCCCGCACTCCATAACTACTGAGCCTGTGCTCTAGAGCCTGTGAGCCGCAACTACTGAGCCCGCGTGCCACTACTGAAGCCCACACGCCTAGAGCCCAAGCTCTGCAAGAAAAGAAGCCACTGCAACGAGAAGCCTGCACACCGCAATGAAGAGTAGCCCCTGCTCGCCACGACTAGAGAAAGCCTGTGCACAGCAATGAAGACCCAATGCAGCCAAAAGTTAAATAAATAAATAAAATTTTTAAAAAAATAATATAAGGAAATCCAGAGCTTATTAAGGAAAAGCTTACTAGTGTGTGATAGCAATTAAAATTGTGTTTCTCAAGCTTCACTCAATCAAGGGCTCTTTCATATTTGCTCTACCATGTATCACCTATACTTTTTAATTTAGTCAGTATTTTTCTTAAAATGGACTCCTTTTTTAAACTTTATTTAAAAGAAAAGTTTATAAAAATCCTGAAATCAGGAGTTTGAGTTAGTTATATTTTTTCTAATATTCTATAAAAGAAACACACAATTATTAAAATAAAAACATTTGTCTGTGTAACACCTATATTCATTTCAGATACCACCAGCCAGTGCATGCTACCCACCTTGAGAAACAGTGGGGGTGATTGATCCTTCTTCGAGTATTAATCTAGAATAAAACTTAGATTGGACAAAGTGTGATAATTATGAAAAGGAGTTTTTTCATGACTTCTGAGAATCTTCTGCTTTTGACCCATGTTAAAATAAAAAATGGATTCATATATTGGTTATCAAGTTTTTCTAGAAACTTATTTGAAATATCCAGAAAAATTCCATTATTGATTTCTTTCATCTAAATATAAGAAGTTGCTTAGAAATTTGGCACTGCATCCACCAAACAGTCCTTACAGTTACTGTAATTATGTCAGGCCCCTCCAGCACTGGGATTGTTGAGGAGCTCTGTCTCATCTCATGGTCTTCTTTGGGCTCAACCCCATGATTCTTAGTATTATTCTTAGGGGCCATCAAGAAAGGAAGTAAGATTTCTTGTTTGGGTGGAACAGTCTAGGGAAATGTGGGTCATGTGGGCAGGATTCACTTCTTACACCTGTTTCATGCTAGCTCAGTGCTTTGTACACAGTTGATACTCATAGCTGATAAAGTTGAATGAAACACCAAATGAATGAATGTGTCAGTGAAGGAAGGACAATGGCAGATGTGCTTTTTGGATATTTCTGGAAATTTTAATTTTTAAACAATGTTTTTAAGGATCTGAAAGCCCGGATGCAGGAGGCCATGACTCAGGAGGTGTCAGATGTTTTCAGTGATACTACAACTCCCATCAAGCTGTTGGCAGTGGCAGCCACTGCCCCTCCTGATGCACCCAATAGGGAAGAGGTGGGTATCTGAGGTCTTCCATTTCTTCTGTTGGCCAGCCATGTGTATATGTATATGTATGTGTATGTGTATATGTATATGTATATGTATGTGTATGTGTGTGTGTGTAAAGGTAAAATGTGACTGCAGTGTATGTCAGGAGTGGTTGGGAAATTGTGGATGAAGGGTGGAAAGGTAGAAGAGGGAAGAAAGGCCTTGCCACTTCTTCTTTCAGTCACCAGGTATGTTGCTTAGGAATGTCTTTAGGACATGTCTTCACTTGCAAGCAGTAGAAGACCTGACTGTCAGAGATGAAAACAAGTGGGTTTTATTTTCATCACATAACAAGAAACATGGAGCTAGGTAGCCTTGGCATTGGTTCAGCAGCTTGATGCCATGAAAGCTGGTATCTCTCTGATTTTCTTGATCTTTTCCTCATGATGTGAGATGCTGATGCAGCCCTAGGCATTATGTTCAAGGCAGTAAGAAATGAGCAGTGGGGGCATTCCAGTCACAACTAGAATAACTGTCCCTCTAGTTATAACCTTCCTTTTAGTGTCCCCTTAGGACACTTTATTCTCCAGACAGAAGTCAGGGCAATTCTTTTAAATCATTTGATGTCATTCTTTTACTCAAACCCTTCAGATTACTCCTCCCTGTCCCAGAGTGAAGCCAGAGTCCTTACAATGAACAGTAAGGCCAGTGATGTGCTGGTAGACACAGGAAAAAACAAAACAAAACAAAAACAAAAACAAGAAGGCCCTGATTTGTAATGTTTGTTAATTTCCATGATGTAAATATTCCCATGATGGCTGTTTCAATGTGAAGTCACTGTAAGCAGAGTCGGGAAGAGATGGGCACATTTGGCTCTTATGAGCTTGTGTGAGTTGATACCAGCAGCTTCGTCACACCACTGCATCTGGTCCGCCATCTACTTGTCTGACCTTGTGTGGTGCCTCTCTTCCCCCTCATGCTCCTGTCTCTGCATTGATCTTCTTGCGTTGTATTCCCAATATTCCTTGTTTATGTTTGTATGTTCTAACCTTGGGGCCCTTGCTGTTGTTCTCTCTGGTCCTCCCACAGATAACTGCAGGTATTGTTCGCTCACTTTCCTCAGCTCTCTACTGAAATGTCACTTTGGGGTCACCACCTAAGATCGCAACCCCACCCCAAGCCCATCCCAAGAAATTCCCTAATCTCCATATCCTACATTTCTCCTTCGTGTTTATCAACACTTACATATTTACCTCGTTTTCCTCTCGTTAGCATGAAAGCTCCATGTGGGCAGGGATTTTGTTTTGTCATTACTTTATTCCCATTTCTTAGAACAATGTCTGACACATCCTTGGTGCTGAATAAATGAAAGTAAACGCTCACCCAGAAATCCTCCAGGAGACTTTTGTGTATGTCTCATTGGCTAGAATGCTGTCACATGGCTACCTCACTGCAAAGGAATCTAGGAAAGCAAGTATTTGGTTTTCCATCCTCTATAGTATTGGTAGTGAAGGAGAAAGGGTTGGGTCAGGCACCCAAGACAATGTAGAACTGGTGAGCAGACGTTTATGTTATTCTTATTTGCTAATGACCCCCATTTTCTTTCTCTAGCCTAGGTTGCTGGTCAGTTCAGCTCATGGTCCCCTTAGGCTGGGGTGATGTGCTGTGTTTTCATTCCGGACATCTGAATGTCTGATGAGCAGACAAAACTGTCTGCTGGTAATCTCTACCTAGATGCTGAATGGGTACCTCAGCATGTGTTGTCCTCCTGTTTTCTTCCAGCTGGAAATTTGTGAGTCGCCACTGACTCTTCCCTTCATCTTCCCACATCTATAAAGTAAGACAAGCTAATTTGATCTCACAAATACATCTTGAATTCTCTCTAATTTTTATTCATGTTGCCACGGCTCTAGTTCTGATCCTTGTTCCCTGCTGCCTTTATAACTACACAGCTGAGACTGGTCTTTGAATCCATCACTAGGGCACGAATAAAATAAAAATACAGATCTGACCCTGATATTTTCCTGCTTAACCTTTCAGTGGCCCTTCCTTTTCACATAGGAGAAAGCCAGAGCTCTGTGATCTGGCTTCTAATACTCCCTCTACCCCTGTTTCCCACAAACCCCACCTCTCAGTTCATGCCCCAGCAATACCTCATTGCTTATAGTTTCCTGCGTACTCTGTCCTTTCTGTTCTCCATGTCTTTGTTCTTTCTGTCTCTCTACCTAATTATTGTCCCCTTATCTCTTTTGGCTAATTTCTGTTTATCCTTTATTCTAGTATCCTTCACTTCCTGGATAGTCTAAGTGCCTTACTTTTTCCTCCCTAATATCAATGCTTAGTTTTATTATTGCACATAGCACACAACTATTGTAGGTATCTGTTTATGGGCCTTTTTAACCCTGCTAGGATGTGAGATCCTTGAGATGCAGAAATTATGTCTTATTCATCTTTGTATCTTCAGCACCTGTTCCAGGGCCTGGCACATAGTAGGTGCTCAGTACAGTTTGGTTGAGTGACAAGAAAAGCAAGCTAAGCAGTTGGGTAAATCAGAGGGAGCAGCAGACATAGACTGGGGTTGAGATGGTGAACCAAAGTTGGCAAAGCCTTATAGATTCAGAGTGGGAGACCAGCCAAGGAGAGAAACAAGGACTGAGGCCAGGAGAAGAGGACCAGGGGGCTAGAGATTTAGGAAGAGATCCTGAGCATTAAATGGCAAGAACCCAGCTGGCTGAATCCAAACAAGAGGTCAGAATGGGGAAGAGACTTGCGTGCATAAACATAGAACCCTGGCAATGAGACTGGAGCCTGCTGTTGGACCAGGAGACCTTCAGAGATTGTCTGCTGGGAGCCAGAACTTGTCTCCAAGTAGGGGCAGGTAGACCTCCAGGAGGAGGCAAAGAAGAGGGTAGATTCTGCCAGGCAGTTCCTAATGTGCTCTGTGTATAATATAAAGCTCACCCAGGGCTGTTGGATATACCTTGCCTCAAGCATCAATTCTAATAATGTGATCCAAACAAATGACAGAAGAACTTTCGTGTCTAAGTTAAATTGTCCCCTTCGTGGTATGTGACCTTGCATAATATCCATGTCGAAGAAGAAGTTAACTTTTTAACAATATGTGAACTGAATGAACAATTCAGTAGATGGTTTTGCATTTGGGGTGATGGAAGTCAGCCATCCTTACCCTTGTGTCAGGCGTGGGTGTGAGCACCAGCTATCATTTTTCCCATGGAGGTCAGGGGCAGAGCTTTTACAAAATTAATGGTAATGGGATATGTGAGGGAAGCTGCCCTGAGGAGGCTGGAGCTCTGGTTAGGACTCTGGATATTCTTGGCCTTTAATGCATCCAGCCACCTGCACTGGAACCTGGAGTAGGTTTTTCTATACTCTTCAAACTAGGGGATAAGCCTTTTGTGAACAGGGATTATTTAAGTCTTTGGATTCTGTGAACTCCTTATTGCAGACTGCACAGCACTGTACGTCCTGTTTGCACCTGGTAAGCATTGACTGCGCTGAAATTCAACGGTGTGTGTGCACTTGCCTGGATGCATGTGATGCTTATGGCCAAACCTCTGAGGAGATACGGCAAGGCCAAGACTCAATGTGACTGTTGTCTTATTAACTTGTAAAGTCTTTGCTGAAGCAGTTGCTGCCTCTGCTTAAAGAGAGACTTTTTCTTAGGCTGCCTGACCCATTTTATTGCAATAAATTTTCTTAATGTCTTTGTTTGTTCCTCAAGGTATTTGATGAGAGGGCAGCTAACTTTGAAAACCATTCAGGAAGGCTTGGAGCCACGGCAGAGAAGGCGGCTGCTGTTGGAACTGCTAATAAATCAACGGTGGAAGGCATTCAGGCCTCAGTGAAGACAGCCCGAGAACTCACACCCCAGGTGGGTTTCACTCCCCCTTCATCATGTCAGTACACACCATATTGAGTAAAGAAGGTTAGTTACAGAACAGTTTCTATACATTTTTGAACACTTACTATAAAATATCATGAAAGAATCCACACATACCCTTAATGTCTAAATCATTTTTATATTGTTTGAATTTTTTTACAGTGATCATGATTAGTTTTGAAAGTAGAAAAAACTAGTAAAGCACCCCCCTCCCATGCATAATTAGGGAAAAATTCAATAATCTTGGGAGGTTAGTTTATTTTGATTTTAGAGCTTATGCCTTTCCCCACATCTCTTTGATGGTATTTTAAAAATTTTAGATGTGGCCATAATTTTTCTTTTTTATTTAATTATATAACCAAGATGTAGCTAATGTACTGTAAACAGAATATTGGAAGAGTGGGAACAAAAGAAAACAACTTGGACAGGAATTAAAGTTCTAGTACATGATAGATGTTCTTAAAAGATCTCTTCAACATGGTTTAGTGTGATGTTTGTGCAGTTTTTTTCTTCCAATAAAATTACAGAAAATTCATTATCTTTTCATTCATTTATTCAGCAGATATTTCTTGAGTGCCTGTGGTACATTAGGAACTGTCTGGGCTCTAGAAATCTATGATACTAGATTTGGTGGGGAGCTTGTAGGCAGAGACAGGGGAAATAAGCTTGTCTCTTAATTGTTCAACTTTTGCCAGTGTGGCATGTTAACAAGTTAGATTCTCTTGAAAAATCATACTTGTCTAGCTTTTTAAAAAAAATGTCCATAAAATATGAACATGTCTAACTTTCCTTAAAAATTTCCATAAAACATAGAACATAAAACATAGGATTTCTCTATAAAACTGAGATTTCTGAAAAAACAGGAACAGAGCACTAGGCTTAAGGCACTAACTATGGAAAGAGCAAGGACTTTGGAGACAGATCTGGATTCGAATCCTCTGTCACTTTGAGTTTCCTTGTGTAAAATGGAGATAATTCCTTCCTAGTGGATTGTTCTGAGGATTAAGAAGATGCTTGTGCAGCCTATAACTTATCAAATACTCAGTAAATGTTAGTTCCTTCCCCAAGTGCTGCAACTGACTAGCTGGGAGCTCTTGAGCAAGTCACTTAAATTTTCTGCGTCTTGGTTTTTGCAGCTGTGAAGTGGAGAGATTACTGTCCTTTCACTCTCACAGGCTTGTTGTGAGGATTTAGTAAGACAGTGGATGTGAAAGCACTTTGTTAACTGTAGACAGTTATTATTATTTAAAGGAACATTTATTTATTTATTTATTTATTGGCTGCATTGGGTCTTCGTTGCTGCGCGCGGGCTTTCTCTAGTTGTGGTGAGTGGGGGCTACTCTTCGTTGCGGTGCATGGGCTTCTTGTTGTGGTGGCTTCTCTTGTTGCGGAGCATGGGCTCTAGGCGTGCGGGTTTCAGTAGTTGTGGCACGTGGGCTCAGTAGTTGTGGCACGTGGGCTCAGTAGTTGTGGCTCGCGGGCTCTAGAGGGCAGGCTCTGTAGTTGTGGCCATGGGCTTAGTTGCCCTGCGGCATGTAGGATCTTCCCAGACCTGAGATCAAACCCGTGTCCCCTGCATTGGCAGGTGGATTCTTAACCACTGCGCCACCAGGAAAGTCCGACAGTTATTTTTAATAAATATTTATAAATCTGTTTTAAGTAATCTTTAGTATCATTCTTAATGGTGCTTTTTAAGATGAGGCTTAAGTATCTGTCCGTTTTGTATATGTTCAGAAGTATCAAGCAAACACCCGTTTACTTTGTCACTTTATTACCTTCTTAAAATCAGGCTGTAACTGTAAAATCTTTTGTGAGGGCCCATTCTGGGGAGCTGTTTATGAGACCAAAACTAAAGTGCTTGGTCTGAAAAGAGACTCACCGATTTTTGGCCTTATAGTGCCACCTGTAGGTAAAGAGGGGGAAGCTTTGCTGAAGGTTTATATTTGAGTGGTGTTTAAAGGTTGTTTTGTCATTGCCAGGTCGTCTCAGCGGCTCGCATCTTACTTAGGAATCCCGGAAATCAAGCTGCTTATGAACATTTTGAGACCATGAAGAACCAGTGGATCGATAATGTTGAAAAAATGACAGGTAGAGTTGTGTGCAAAATTCTTCCTGTCTGATCCATGAGACTGAGAAACTCAAACAGGACCAGTTATGTTACTCAGCTGTAATTGGATAAAGGGACCGTCATGTGCTCGACAGTGTACTTGGCCCTGATTAAGGCCGCTGAGCAGCAGCGGCTTCTCATTCAAGCCTTGCAACTTTGTCCGAAGAGAGACTCTTTGAGTCTCTTTGATTTTAATGTGGCCCTCCCGGTGTGATGTTTATTGTTACAGCTCCTATCTTCTCTGAATAGTGTCTTTTCTCTGTCTGAGCCAGAGTTTGGTTTCAGAGGCTGAGAGGCGGTGTTTGTGGATACAGTAAGTGTCCCTGTCATTTTCAGCAGGTTCACATTTCAAGGAACCACAATAGCTACCATTTAATACAACTTGTCTCAGAGTTTCCTCCAACTTATCAACTACGTAGTTTTTTTTTTAAAAAAAGGAGAAACCAACAACTGACAAACCTGTGTCTGTGCGATAGAGGTGGCACCTCTGAATCTTCTTCATTCTCTTTGGAGGGAGGGATGGGAGAGGAAGAGATGAGGAATGTAGGCTCTTCGGCTTCCCTGCAGAACCTGCTGGGACAGGGGTCCATAGCAGCCAGAGATGAAAGTGGAGCTCTTGAGGTGTCTGAAGAGAGGTAACAGAAACAAGAAACAGGCTGTTAGGGTTATTGGAATCCTCTGCGTGGCTCATCTTGGGCACTGCAAGCTGCCAATAAGCAACAGATGGCTGGGGAGTGAGACGGGAAGGGAGAAAATACTGTTAACAGATAATGTGGTGCTGATGCGGTGAAGGTTTCAGACGCAATCCTTGTTTCCTCCTGATGTCAAAGCGTTTCTGGTTGTCTGTGGTAGATACAAGAAGGCTGGTGACCACGGTTGGTATAAATGCTGTGAGTCTGTATGGCCTCCTGGGCTACATTCTCACTTTTTTTTTTTTACAATGGTGATCACCTGGAAGCTTTTGATTGTGTAAGAAGGGTTTTGAGCTGAAGGTGAGAATTATGGGTGTTGTACTTTCACGTGAGAAATTTGAGTGGACAACAGGGTTTTGGAGTCTCTGTTCTTCTAAAATAGAAACTAAATTCCATTTCTGTTCTCCGGACAGGGCTGGTGGACGAAGCCATTGACACCAAATCTCTGTTGGATGCTTCCGAAGAAGCAATTAAAAAAGACCTGGACAAGTGTAAAGTCGCCATGGCCAATATTCAGCCTCAGATGTTGGTCGCTGGGGCAACCAGCATTGCTCGTCGGGCCAACCGGATCCTGCTGGTTGCTAAGAGGGAGGTGGAGAACTCTGAGGATCCCAAGTTCCGAGAGGCCGTGAAAGCCGCCTCTGATGAATTGAGCAAAACCATCTCCCCAATGGTGGTGGATGCAAAGGCTGTGGCAGGAAACATTTCTGACCCTGGTAAGCAATGCATGGTGTGGTTCACCTCAGCTGAGAGGTTAATTCAGGAAGCTGACAGGGTGGGGAGAGAAGATGCACCCCACAACCATGACACAACCTGGGAGCAAAAACTACAGATACTTAGTTTGAGGATAGTATATTAAGCTTTCTCTGTTCAAAATATGTTGGACAGAATATTTTCTGCAATATTGGCAGGGTTATTGTAAGTTAGTTTCTCTGGACCAACTTCCCTGTGCTTTTTTTTTTTAATTTTATTTTTTATTTGTTTCTGGCTGCGTTGGGTCTTCCTTGCTGTGTGTGGGCTTTCTCTAGTTGCGGCGACCGGGGGCTACTCTTCATCGCGGTATGTGGGCTTCACATTGCTGTGGCTTCTGTTGTTGTGGAGTATGGGCTCTAGGCACGCGGGCTTCACTAGTTGTGGCTCGCGGGCTCAGTAGTTGTGGCTTGTGGGCTCTAGAGCGCAGGCTCAGTAGTTGTGGTGCACGGGCTTAGTTGCTCCGTGACATGTGGGATCTTCCCGGACCAGGGATTGAACCTGTGTCCGCAGGCAGATTCTTAACCACTGCACCACCAGGGAAGTCTCTCTGTGCTTTCTTAATGTCTGATTAAATAACTCCTGGTCCTGTTTAGTCATTATTTTGGAAATTTCTCAAAAGATGCATAATAACCAATTTATCAACCATTTATGTAACTGGCATACCTTCTGCTTTTCTTAAAATGCTTTTTCTCTGGACAACATTCATTATTTCTGTCAAATCTGGAAAGCCTAAGTTAACCTGTGGGTCTCCTAGGTCTTGATCTTGATCCTACACCAAAGAGTTTGTGTTTTCTTTAGCTGAATTTTGATCATATTTTCATTACTGCTAAAGATATAACCACTCCTTTTTGGTTGGAAACATCTGAATTCCTTCCTCCTGTGAGCCTCTAGTGTTTCTAGCCTCTTCTATGAGTAGAATCCACTCAGTGTGAGAGAATGGGAAGGAGGGGCTGCCCTGTTCGTCCCTAGCCCAGGTAAAATCTTTCTGGTTTTCTCAACCCACCATCACTGAAGATGTGCTCAGTTTCCTAATTGGAGTTTCTAATAGTTTGAGTAGATTCCTTTAATTCTGGGTGACTGGACACAGTAGCAGCAGCTCAATGTAGGGGTTAATATGCTGAATGCCAAGTGGAGCAAAGGAGTAGGGAGAAAGGTGAGAAGTACTCCAGGGAATGTGTGCCCCATCTGAAACTTGACATCTCCCCTGTTCTGAGTGGGGCAGGCTTATCTCTCGACTGCTTTATCATGAGAGGTGATGAGCACCACCTGAGCCCAAAGTGTTCCTGGCCCGGCAATGTGCTGAGTACTTGTTAGCTGTACAGGCAAGAAGGCGCCCTGAGCACTACAGGGATCAGCTGGTTTGTGCCACTTTTGACTCTTTGCAGGCCTCAGGGCATCTGCCTGGCTCTTACCTCCCTTCCCCTTCAGTCACTGCCTGTGCTGCTTACTGGCAGCTTCATATCCAGCTTTTGTTACTGGAAACCAGTTCTTCTGCTGGACAGACAGTGCTCCAGGGCACTGACCTACCCAACTGAAAGTGAGGGTGTCTGTGTTTAGGCCTGCAAAAGAGCTTCCTGGACTCGGGATACCGGATCCTGGGAGCAGTGGCCAAGGTCAGAGAAGCCTTCCAACCTCAGGAGCCTGACTTCCCGCCTCCTCCGCCAGACCTTGAACAGCTCCGAGTAAGTAGATTCAGAGAGTTTGGGAGAATTGAGCAGCAGGGTGTCGGGACTGTAGCAAGAGAGAGGTAGGCTGTTCTGGAGCCTCGGTCACTAGGTAGCTTTGTTTAACTTTTACTTGAAGCTCAGTCAGAGGCACAACTCGACTTTCATTCTTGAATCTGGCGGGGTATTAACCGAGTGCTTATGCATGGCGTGTGCTGGGTAAGTGGGGGTCTTTGGTGTTGGCCTGCTCTAATGGGAAGTGACTGGAGCAGAGGAGCTGGCTGTGGTAAGTGTGGATGTGATGAGTGATGAGTTATTTAGTGGGGCAAGTTAGTGAGGAGTGGGAAAATAATCTGCACAGTTTGTGGTGAGAATTTATGTGTTCCCAGTTGATGATGACAAACCTGAGGTGGTTAGACTCTTGTGTACATTCTTCTTTCCTTCATTTGACTTTTTTTAGTAGCAAAAGTAATAAAATCCTTTTTTTTAAAAAAAGTTAATTTTTCCCTAACTATAATTTTAAATCTTTTGATGCCCCAGAAAGTACCATGAATTTTTTCTTCCATAGGTAAATGGTTTAGGGGGAGGAAAGCTGAGCAATAGCTTGCAGATACAAATCCTAGAATCAGAAATAGTCATTATTTTTAGACATTTTCTCTGACAGTACTGGAAATAGCTTGTCCTTGGGAATAGCTTATCAAGGCAATAATTTGATTTACTGTCCCTGATATACTTTCCCATATTTAATATCCCAAATTTACTTTTCCATATTTAAGTTTCTAAGTTTGTTGAGGACAAAATTGGGTCACTGTGCCCATAGCTAATGAACAGTGCTTCCCTAGCCTTCAACGCTTCTTTTTTGATTTGACTTGATTCTTTTCAGCTGGGCTGTTGGTGGGTGGCTAGGGAGGGCTATTCTGGGGCATGGATTCTTATGTGATCAATAGAGTCCTGACATTTGGAATCAAGAACTTAGAGGTCATTTGGTCTAGATATTCCTCACTGATAAACCCTTTGAGAAACCCAAGGCCCAGGGGAGAAGTTGTTGCTTATGCAGCTGCCCGTCAACAGAGTCAGGACCAGAACTTAGATCTCGTTTGAGGATCCTTGGCCCAGTAGGGCTGTGCGTGCCTCCCTGGGATATGTCCAAAACAGTAGGTGCTAACTTTTTGTGGAGAAAAAAGGAAGAAAATATGCTTCTGTTGAGATTGAAACAGGTGGTCCTTATGATCAGTGTGGATGGTCTTAAATGGAGTGAATGTGGGTGGCTTTTTTGGGGATGCTTTTTAAAGGAAAGGAAAGAATTCTGGTGGGGAGTAGTTTCTAGAGCTTTACTTACAACCTGGTAATTCTTTCTTAGCTGACAGATGAGCTTGCTCCTCCCAAACCACCTCTGCCTGAGGGTGAGGTCCCTCCTCCCAGGCCCCCACCACCAGAGGAGAAGGATGAAGAGTTCCCTGAGCAGAAAGCTGGGGAGGTGATTAACCAGCCAATGATGATGGCTGCCAGGCAGCTCCATGATGAAGCTCGCAAATGGTCCAGTAAGGTAAGTAATGAAGCTCTTCTTGCTGAGAAAGGATGAAGAGCCATGTACACAGCCCAGGAAGTCTATTTGGAAAATCACCCTCTCTCTGCTTTGGTTCCTGTTATTGCCAATAGCACGATCCTCTTCTTTCTTGTGGTTTAGTGAGATGTTTCTGGTACTTGATGGTTTCTCCTTCTAGCAGCTAAAGTGAGAGCTAGGATACCTTAGTTAGAGATGAAAGTTCTTTTCCTTCTGTCCTCTAGAGTGTCAGCTGCCCTGATGCTGGACATTTGGTCTCTTAGAAATTGCTCTTCTTTCTTGGGGTCACTGAATGTTTTTAGATGCTCTCGTGCTAATTATCCACACTGCAAACATGGCACAGTCTTCTGTAGGCTCTGCTATAGCTACATGAAATATTTGCATTTTCCTTCTCTTTTCTCATAGAAGCAGGTAGATTGGTGTCTTAGAAGCCATGTGCTTTTTCCCTTTCTCAGAATCATCTTACCCCTCAACTCAAGACAGCTCCAGGCTAACTCCTACTAAACAATCTGGAAGTGTAAATATTAACATGGTTGGTGAAAATTTGGATGCTGCAGCAGTCATGCCTCATGAATGATGAAAAGTGAGTGGTAGCTTTTCTAGACAAGAGCTAAATATTATTGTTAACCCTGCAGTGGAAGGTGGTTCGAAGTCAGTTCTAAACTGTTTCTACCATGAACCTACATCTTTATTCCCAACATCTATTGGACTTTGTTCATTTCACACCTTCAGCCACCTCAAGCTCTTGTATTGAATGTAGTTCCCCAGGGACCTCCTGCACATGCAGCTGATCTTGGGTTTTTTCAGGCTGGGAATTTGACCTTGGTTTGTTTGGTTGTTTGTTTTTTTCCGGTACGCAGGCCTCTCACTGCTGTGGCCTCTCCCATTGCGGAGCACAGGCTCCGGACGCGCAGGCTCAGCGGCCATGGCTCACGGGCCCAGCCGCTCCGCGGCATGTGGGATCTTCCCAGACCAGGGCACGAACCCGTGTCCCCTGCATCGGCAGGCAGACGCTCAACCACTGCGCCACCAGGGAAGCCCTACCTTGGTTTTTTAACTCTGTATTTTTCTGCACTGTTAGCTGTGAGCCCAGGTTCCGAGAAGGAATGGTGACCTTGCTGGTGTTGGACCTGACCCGTGGAATCACTTATAATCATCTCTCTCTAGCTGGGGCATGCACACCCCTGGGACCATTAGCAGAGTCCCAGTGCACATGGGGAGTGGGGTGGGGGTGATAGTGAAGGTTGGTTTTACTCAAAGATTTTTTTTTTTTTTTTTTTTGCGGTACGCGGGCCTCTCACTGCTGTGGCCTCTCCCGCTGCGGAGCACAGGCTCCGGACGCGCAGGCTCAGCGGCCATGGCTCACGGGCCTAGCCGCTCCGCGGCATGCGGGACCTTCCCGGACCGGGGCACGAACCCGCGTCCCCCGCATCGGCAGGCAGACTCTCAACCACTGCACCACCAGGGAAGCCCTACTCAAAGATTTTAAAGAACATATTTATTTGTTTGTTTGGCTGTGCCACGCAGCTTGCGGGATTTTAGTTCCCTGACCAGGGATTGCACCTGGGCACCCGGCATTGAAAGTGCCGAGTCCTAACCACTGGACCGCCAGGGAATTCCCTAAGGAAAATTTAAATTTCTTTATAAACCCAGATACACTCTAAGTTATGGATGTTAAAAATAAAAGTACAAAACATTTCAAATCTTTATTTCTTACACTCTTTTCTTTTATATTGATATCTTGCCCACATTTTAAATAAATGTACTTTTGAACTTAAAAAAAATAACAGATACATTGTGCAGTGGAACACAAAATATACATGAATTTAAAGACAAACATAAAACTTAAGGGGCAGACAGCATTGGCCTACATGTTTATCCCACTCTGCCATTTGTTGCCAAAAATCGGTAGGTCTGACTGTCTCTGGAGGTTTGGAGCATCTGGGGATTGCTGACTTTGAGCTGTGTGAAGTCAGGAGCTATTTGAACCATGTGTTTAGGGAGGACGGATGGTGGTATGTGTTTGTGTATCTGTCGGTCTGCTTTGTACTTTGGGACTCTGAACCCCAGCAGAAGTGGGCTGGCCTCTCCTCTAAGGAATGGGGTGAGTTGAGTCCTGGTTGAGACAGTTTAGGTGAAAGGATTTAGAAGGTACCCAAACCCCTTGTTGGCCCTGAATCCTCCAACTTAATAGTCAGTGTTTGGAGGCAGGCTTCCTGTGCGGATTAAGACTTTCAGGAGTTGTAGCAACCTCAAATAAAATTCCACACAAACTCTTACTTCCTCTTGGTTAGAGATGTTTGATATAAAGAACCTGTGTTTGCCATTCTTTATATAAGTGGTTCGGCTTCATTGGGGCAATTCCTTTCATTCTCTTTCCCCCTTAGCCTATTTTCAGCATGTGATCTCTCTTGCTTCCTTCCTGGCCTTTCAGAATGCCCATCCCTGGTATTAAATTAATTCTCTCCCCCATCACGGGTCCTGTTTTCTCATGGGCACCAGTTTTGAGTTCCTCTGAACTCTGCTTTGGTCAGTTGACAAGTCCATGTGTTATCTTATCTGTGAAATATCAATAAATTGAGTTTGGGGTAAGTGCAACTGGAGAGATTCAGGGTGTACCCGAAGAACAGCTTTCTTAGTCGGCTAGTTATGGATGCAATGTGAAATTGTGAAGTGTTGTCTCTGTAGACCTTAGGGAGAGCTGCTCTGAAGTGTGGGTTTTCCCTAAGGTGGTTGCTGGATGAGATGTCTTCTTGAGGCTCCTTCTAGCTGGGTGATTGTGGGGTATTTGATAAGTCCTCTTCACTCACCATTGTGTTTTTCTTGCCTCTTTCCTGGTTTGATATCTGTTGCCTCAAATTTATCATTTTCAATTCTGGAAGTTTTAACCCCTGAAGGAAATAATCTGTGTCTGGCAGCTGCAGAGCTGACCCAAGACACTTTCTGTTTCCTGGAAGCTGTAGAACAGCGTTCATATGAGCCAGCAGTTGTTCACATTGTTCTGTTCAAAGCAACTTGTGTGGTTCCACTTACATTTTCCCTCTGGATTCCTTTTAAAGTTAATAAGTTACTATTGTTTGGCTTCTCAAAAATGTTCTGACCTGAGAATTACTCTTTGGTAGTAAGTGTATACAAAAGGAATGCCACTTTCTTTCTTTGTATAAATAGTTCTCTGGAAACCGTTTGCTACTGGCGTAAGCGTCTTTCCTTTACTGTGAACAAGGCCGGTGCCGGAGGCTGAGAATTCCCCCTTCTGTGGAGCTTGGTTCATTTGACTCCTGGAGAGTATCCATTTTCTTTCCCATCCTAGGCAAACTTTGGTTACTAAACCGGCTGAAGCTCAGTTGCCCAAGCCCTACTGCTCTTACTAACACTGTCCCTGTTTCTCACCCTTCCTGCCATCGACAAAGCCGGGTAACCCAGCCGCTAAGGTGGGTATAAGTGCTGTAGCTGAGGCAGATGCGGCTGACGCTGTTGGGTCCCCTGTCCCCCCTGACATGGAAGACGATTACGAACCTGAGCTGCTGTTAATGCCATCCAGTCAGCCGGTCAACCAGCCCATTCTGGCAGCGGCTCAGTCATTGCATCGGGAAGCTACCAAGTGGTCTAGTAAGGTACTGATTAGCGCCCCCAGCTGGGGCTGCTCCATATGCATCTGGCCATGTGCAGCCTTGACACATTGCATCACTCATGATCTGTGCGGGTCCTGTGAGTCTGAGCCGGGCGGGCATCTGTCTGTCTGCACCTTGTTGTTAGGACTGGCTTCACAAGTTTGATAGGTCTGCTAATGCCAGATTAACTGGATTGCATTTATGTTTGGGAGTTAGAGATGGGGTCACTTTTTGAAAGGATTCCTTTTCTTACTGACCTTGTGGCCCATATTGGAACCTTAAACCCCTTGGGAAGCCGTGGATGCCTCTCAGTGACTTTCAGGTCGGGAATCATTGTAGACCATTAAGAGGTCATCTGGCCTGATCACTGGACTTTGCCTGTCCCCCACCTATGCCCCCTCCCCGCTGACCTCTCACTGTTGGCTCAGGCAGAGTTGATCAGCGTGAGGAGTGTTTCTGGGGAGGGCTGCTTGCTGTCCTGCACTTGGCTGTGGGGCAGATGCTGTGGGGCAGATGCTCCCTTCATGGGAGCCCACGGGGAAGGGGGCTTCACTGACTGGCTTGTTCAGGGGTTTCAGTGGGAGAGGGGGTGTGAGTTGGGATCAGATAGCGCTCAAGTCTGCAGGACAGGAACCAACGGAGCTTTGGCCTTAGGGAGTGGGGGATGGGGGCAATCACTTTTTTCCCTTTGAAGGTGGCATGTTGCAAGAAGAAAGGGTTTGAAGAGCGATGGGTAATAAATAACTAACCCTGGCACTACACTGTCCTCTAACCAAGGTCATGAAATCCTGGAATGATCCCAGGTCTGCACTGGAAGAGGTGGGCCCAGCCAGCCTTGTCTAACATACCCCTATTCTCATGAGTTCTTCCCATGCCTGTGTTCTCTCTGGCCTCAATTGCTGCCCAAGATGTTATACACCCTCCACCGTAAAAGATCAGCCACGTCACGGTGCCTGTGGAGGTTTCTCACAGAGCACCCTGCAGTGGCATGGTTTGTGTATGTCTCACTGCATTGTCTAGAAATTGTAAAGCATGAGGGGAAAAATGTGTAGAGCCTGGCCTTTTAGGTAGTTTTGAACATTGCATTTGTTATTTTTGGTTGTTATCAGCCAAAATATCAGCCTTTTGAAGGCATAAAGTAAATTACTTGTACATTTCCTTATTATGACCCATGAGGGTTTTAATGAACCAAAATGCCCAGTGTAAGATAAACTGCTGTTAGTTGGAGTGAGGGTTACATTTACGGCTTGACTCACGATTTTTATTTTCCCAACGCCTCCCCCGGCATCCTCTTAACTGTGAAGGTTTCTTTAGTTGAAGCCACTTAGCTGAGAGGACTGAAGAATTGATTCTTGGCCTTTTTAAATGTGAAAAATTAAAATAATATGTTCCTTTAGGCTGAGAGTACAAACAAGAGGCAGTAGAGGGAGGGCAGGAGCAGACTTAGGTCAGAAAAAATTTTTTTTCACCAAGGCTGATAGTTACTTGGTTTAAATTCTAGTTCAGCAGCGACAATCATTGGCTGCTGTTTGTAACAAGGGTAAGGATAAAGAGGATGATTTCAGCATCTGGAAAGGCTCATCTGTATTTTTCCCTTCAGGCCAGCTGTACTGCTTTCCCCCCACAGAAAGGAAAATGCCTGTTTAACCAACTTCTTGGGCCCATCCCCAATTTATTGACATGATTAACCTGGAAATGCTGAAATGCTTGTTTAGTGCTATGCCTGGGGCTCACATGTTGCCCTTTCAGATTAATATCCAAGTCTTCCTTTTTTGGTCCGGTGATCTCTCTCTCTCTCTCTCTGTCTCTCACTGAGTACTGGGGTGAGTACCCTGGCTCACTCTTCTGTTTATTTCTCCTGTGCTGTATCTATATCACTCAAGAATAGTCTGTATACCTTCTTCTCACCCCTCCAGAGGGCTGCTAGAGCAGCAGGCTCCCTCCTCTCTTCTCTGTGCTTCTACTTCCTTCCCTAACTTGGCCAGAGTATGGGCTGAGCTCACACTGTATCTTGCTTCTCTCTAGGGCAATGACATCATTGCAGCAGCCAAGCGCATGGCTCTGCTGATGGCTGAGATGTCTCGGCTGGTCAGAGGGGGCAGCGGTACCAAGCGGGCACTGATTCAGTGTGCCAAGGACATAGCCAAGGCCTCAGATGAGGTGACTCGGTTGGCCAAGGAGGTTGCCAAGCAGTGCACAGATAAGCGGATTAGAACCAACCTCTTACAGGTACTCAGGAAAAGTGTGTGTGTGGCCGGGGTGGGGGGGCAGGGGGTAGGGTGAAAAGCAGGAGAGAGAAAACTGGGTGAGCAAGGAGGAGGTACTTTAGAATGGGAAGAAATAGCAGAAAGGGGAAATACACATGTGTATTTGGGAAAGACAGATACAGGCAAGTTTATTTCTGAATCAAATGAAAGAATTTTAATGCTTCCATGTCTGGACAGAAGGACTATACTGATCCTAGGGGTAAAACAATTGGAATCCTGCTGCTGATTTACTGAATGCTTTCTGCATGCCAGCCACTGAGAATACAGAGGTGAATTAAGTCTCATCCTCAGGGAGCTTGTGGATAAGAAAAATAAAGAAACATACTAAATTAAATTTTCTTTTTAGGTATGTGAACGAATCCCAACCATAAGCACCCAGCTCAAAATCCTGTCCACGGTGAAGGCCACCATGCTGGGCCGGACCAACATAAGCGACGAGGAGTCTGAGCAGGTATGTGCTTCTGATTTCTCGCCAGCAGCTTCTATTCCACTTGATAGCAATTCAGTTCAGCCTTGAGGAAATTTTAACTGTGAAATGGGTATTCAGTATGTAGGATGGAGTCTTCAGTTCTCTCAGAAGGGCATCTATGTTGGAGAGATCATCAGAAATTTGGAAAGGGAAGTAAAAAGCTCTTGTGCAACTCTTGTCATTTTACAGCTGAGAAATTGAGGCCTTGGGAGGTTAAGTGAATCAGCAGCAGTTAGGACTCTCTACTTGGTTCTTTTCCTCCCTGGAATAGGTTTGGCTCTCTCGAGGCCTCCAATGCCTGTTCAGTCCTGCTCACTCTATCCTTCTGGCTGGAGAATTTCTGCTTCCTTGTTCTCTGGGTGATAAGTACCTCAGGGAGGATGAATAGTGTAGGCTTTTCAGGGGCATGAGGTGGTTAGGCCTGTGCTGAGGCTGAAGTGACATCTCAAACGAGGTGCTTCTCTTTTGGTTTCTTTGACAGAGAATGAAATAAAGATGGTGGGAGTGTTTGCTTAAGTGTTTCTTGTATGTATCTCGGCAGTCACAGTTTTTTCTCTCCCTGCCTGCTGGGAACGTGGCTCAGGTCTTCTCAGAAAGCCCTCATTTGAGCACCTCTTCCTCTCATTTCTTCTCTAGTAGTCTCTGCTATGAGCCAGACTTAACAATTTCTTCTTATGGAAGGTAGCACATCTTTTGTTGAACTGCTCAGACAAGGCTCATCATGCAATGGGATATGTATGTGGCACTGTATTACATACTATGTAGGGGAGTTAACAAAATACACACAATCCCTCTCCTTGTCCGGGCCAGGAGATAGAGGTTAGGAGCACTTTAGAGGAACAGGGAGGCTACTTCTCTTGGTGTCAGTAATGCTACCTTAACTACCATGGTTTAATTCAACAGCTCTCACCATAACCCTCTCTTCTCCCAAACCATGGGAACTGGATTTTAACCTTTAACTTCCATGTGTTCTAGGCAGGGTTTGGGCACTAGGCTATTTCCTGTCATGTGATCTCTCCTGCCCCAAGAAAAGGAAATAGAAAAAACAGGGAAGAAAGGGTAAGACTCAGAGTTTCCGACCTTATCATTTAATCAATTAGCCAACAAAAATGTATCTTGGGAGTATCTACTATGTTCCATTAAATATTCCAGTTAAAAAAAGAGAAAGAAACAGTGTGGTAGAATGGAAGAAACACAGGATTGCAAGTCAGAAGTTTTGAGGCTCATCCTGACTGTTGTGTGCGTTGGGCTGGCAAGTCTCCGAATCACGCTGGGCCTCAGCCTCTTTGTTGACCAAGCGAAAAGATTAACTGATTGGGAATTCTAGTCCATAGTTATGCCTCTCAGAGCCCATGAACCCTCTGAAATTGCATGTACAAATTTTGTGCACGTGAGCAATTTTTTCTGGGGAGAATCCACAGCCTTCATTAAACCCTCAAAGGGTCTACAGCTCAAAAATATTTAAGAATTAAAAAAAAAATTACTGAGTTAATGGATTGATAAGTTAGTTACTAGTGTGATCTCAGTCCTGTATTTTGTATGTTTACAAGATTTACTTATTTAGATTTTCATGGATTTATAAGGTGGTTGGTTTACTTGGTTAGTTTTTCATGTGTTAATTAAATGTTTATGAAATGCCTCGTGACAGGCACTGACGTAACACTAGGGTACAGCAGAGAACAAAATTGACCAAAATTGCTGCCCTCATGGAACTTAAATTTTAGATAAAACATCAGATAAACAACCTAGGTAAAACATACAGTACATCAATTAGTGATGGTAAGTTCTGTAGAGAAAAGTGAAGAAAGAATTGGAGGATGAGGCATGCTGGGAGTTGGGAAGGTGGTTTGTGATTTAAAATAAGGTGAGCAGGAAAAGCCTCAGCAAGGTGACAAATGGGCAAGGATCTGAAGGAGGTGAGAGGTGAGCCATGGGATACCTGGGGGAAGAGCATTCTAGGTAGAGGGGACTGCAGAAGCCCGAGGTAGGGGCTTGTTTGAACACCAGGAAAGGAGTATACACTAGAAGCCACCTAAGGGTACAGTATAAAATCAGTGATGGTCCAGTTTTGGGTTCTTTTTGGTGATCCAGCTATAAACCACCAGTGATGTGACAAATACAAGGGATGCCAGGTACAGGTAGGGTAAACTGCATTGCATTCCTGGCTTAAGCCTGTTTCAGAGGCAGGGCTCCATCAGCGACTGTGAGTAATGGAGAGCTCCTCTTTCCTTACAGGCCACAGAGATGCTGGTTCACAATGCCCAGAACCTCATGCAGTCTGTGAAGGAGACTGTTCGAGAAGCAGAAGCAGCTTCAATCAAAATTCGAACAGATGCTGGATTTACACTGCGCTGGGTTAGAAAGACTCCCTGGTACCAGTAGACACCTGGTTGAACCTGGCTAACACAGAAGCCCCTGCTGAACAGAATGAAAATGATCGGAGTCCCAGGAGCCACCCAAGATTACTGGGGGGTTGAAAGCCACATCTTGGCCTGACATAACAGAAAGGAATGGGGCCTCTTCACATTAGAAAACATTTATACTCTTGTCATGGACACTTTGAAATGTGTCTCCTTATAAAGCCTGTATTCTCGACCACGGCTTTACTTGTGCACACTCTGTCCCAATAGGCAGACGGGGTTTCTAGCCCATGGACTTCACATAAACTCAGAATCCAAGAGTGAACACTAGCCAGACATCCTGTTCTGCGCTTGTTCCCTAAAGGACAGTTCCCTTTCTGCCCCCGTCTCCCCATTCTTTCCGCCAGGCTCCCAAGACCCAGGGCCCAGGCAAATCAGTTAAGGAAATCACTGTGCCTCCAAAATTTTTTGGGCTTTCCATGTTGCTGCTGACCCTGCCTGCCTTCCCTGGCTGTGCTACCTTGGTCCTTTTCAGGAGTGACCTTCACTGTTGCAGGGGAAGGTGGCCTCTGGGGAGCCCCAGCATGTGGGGCCTGGATTCACTTCCTGCCCTTCCCCAATTTAATCCTTCTAGTTTCCCACAGTACAAAACCAAATTTCACTTTGTCAGGAGGAAATCACCAAATCATGTGATTCTGTCTTTACCTCTTTCCAGAGCAATGTCTGTGCTAGGGAAACCTTCCGTCCCATATCCTGCCTCGGCCTGCCAAGGTAGCCATCCCAAGAACACACTGTGTGTCCTGGTGCTCTCTGCCACTGGAGAGGCAGAGTGGCCGGGGCGTGGCCCTGCCCATCCTCCCAGCAGGGCCACTCCCAGGCACTCCACGCTTTGTCACTGCCTGCAGAGATCTATGCTGAGGCCTTATCATTCATTCTTAGCTCTTATTGTTCTTTCTGAGCTGAAATGCTGCATTTAATTTTTAACCAAATGATGTCTCCTGTCCTGGCTTTTGTATTCTTCCCACACCCTTCCTAAACAAGGTTTTAAAGATATATGTTTGTTCTATAATTTTGAAAGATCGTTTTTATCCTTTTGAAATTCAGTCCTAAGAATTGGTGCTTGTCCCCAGGAGTGTCTAATGGAAAGGCAGTCCTGTCTGAAGGACACTGCCTACCTAAGGGAGGTGGTACTTGCAGACTGGAATTCTGGCACTGCTGGGGATGAATCGATGGGAAACAGTCCTCAGTGATTCCTACCTCCCTCAGCCAACAACAGCCAAGCCCCTTGCATCCTACCCTCCCTCCTTAAGTACAGTTGTTCAAAAGAGTAATGGGTATAATATTTAATTATCACCATAGTAAGTTTCCTATTAGCAAAGTGAGAGAAGGCAATTTTTCCTTTCTTGTACTTACCACTGCTGTCTAAGCATTCCCCAGCACATGAAACTATACTTCTTCCCAAAGCCAGAACTGGATGAGTAAAGGAGTAAGAACCCTTGCCTGAATGTCCTCCCCACCTCCAGTGTGTGTTAGACCCTAACATCGAATGTGTAAAACTTAAGTTGGTACTGTACACTCAGGCTTCCTCTGTTTTCTTTTAACTGATGATTATTTTCAAGGCCCTCAGCATCCTTGTATAGTTGCTTACCTGATATAAATGCAATATTAATGCCTTTAAAGCATGAATCTATGCCAAAGATCACCTTTTGTTTTACTAAAGACTACTTAGAGGAAGTAAGAAAAATCATGTTTGCTCTCCAAGTTCTTCCAGTGTTTTGAGACACTGGTTTACACTTTATGCCAATGTGCTTTTCTCTAATATCAGTGCTCAAGACACAGTGAAGCAAATTAAAAAAAAAAAAAAATCCCTGAATGCTGATTAGACATCACTAAAAAATTACATTTATAAGCTAGGATTTGTTATATGCAAATATTTTCTGCCTCTTCTGTTTAAAACAATAAAGTACATTTATATAAATAATGCTTTAAATGATGGGTAAGTTATTTCAGCAAGAGCTTTTAGATCAGGTTTCTCCTTTGTTTTGAAGAATAGCCAGTGAAGCTAATCCTCAAAATGTGGAAACTAAAGGTTTTTATTTAATCCAAATATTGTACTGGAAGAAGAAGAAACCAGTGGTAATATATTTACTTAACAAGACTTTTGTAATAAAGGACAACATTGGGGATTATAAACTAGAAGGAGCAGAAGTGACAAAAGGTTAACAGAGGAAAGCAGCCAGATGATACAGATCATCCCCTGGTTGAAGCAGTCCACCTTAGAAGATTCTGGCTGTATGTGGAAGCCATCACTATCCCCTAAGCTAAAGCTATTACATGTGCAGGAATATTGCAGGTTGATATTTAATATTCTAAAGCCCAATACAGAACAACAGGGTTGTCAGGGATCCACCAGAGTTATGAGGCAGAGCTAGCTTTCGGGCACATATTCCTCTTCTTGCTTGAGGAAGCTCTAAGAGGAGGAACAGGTTCTTGAAGTAGAGCTGGGACATCAGTATTTTTGCCTTATTTTCTATATATGAAAGTGGTAAATATCACTAAAGGGGGATAGTACCGCTGACTACATTTATCACTGCTTTAACATAGAAAAGTTGCTGACTAGGGAGGCAGGTTCCAGCTGTCTGAGTTAAAGGGAACTGTCCAGAGGTACTGAATTAGCTCAGTAATATCTGAAAACAGTATTCACGGTCTCATTTTTTCTATTTACCATATGCTCACTGGTGCTGCCTTCCTGCTGCATTATAGTTTTTCTCAAGTCAGATGACTCTAAGGACACCAGGACCAGTATTTTCCAAGGTTCTTCTATAGCAGCACTTAAGGAATGAACCCATCACATGAACTCCCTTTGAATAAAATGATGGTGACTCCTTTATGCAGAAAATGAGCTTTTGGGTTATACTCCTTTAAGAATTTAGAAAATGAGGCTATCCTGGAATTATCTGGAATTCTATGCTTGAAAATATTTCACTACTACTAAGAATTCATGGATCTTTGTTATTAGTACGTGGTGGTACGGAGAGTAGCTTTGATCACTTATTATTCAGTCTGTGGCTAAAAGGGTGATGGTTAGAGAAAATATATAAGGCTGAGGTCAAGAGAGGAGCACTTGGAAGTGCTCTGCAACAACCCTCACACCTTGTGTGATGAGGCAGAGTAAAATGTGACCGTGTTCAGCCTGCCCTAACACTGTGACATGCCCAGCTGAGAATGCTGAATTAACAGTCAAGCTAAAAAATCAACTTGTTGCTTTCATCTTTTTATTGACAGTGTAGCCAGAGCTAGAGAAAGGACTTACTGGATTCAATCAAATTAATAAATACAATAATTTAATTGTAAAAGGAAACAGTCTACTTCGAAGTTTTAGCAGAAATTGCTAGAAGAAGGGACTCTTGGAATACAATCTGCTTGTATATGAGAAGATAGCACAGAAAGAAAATTAGTCCATATATGGATGATTGAGATTAGGGATTCTGCAGAAAGAAAAGCAAATGTATTGATTGCTCTTTTGAGGTATGAACTTTGAAGAGGAAGACATTAAAATGAAAAGCATTTGAACTGGGTAACCAATCTTAGGCAAAGGGAATAAATATTTGGCAACATCTTAATTTTAGCTGCCAAGCTGATATTGGTTACCCTAGAAATTACTAAGTTGCAAAAAGTAACCTTTCCTATTAGATGAAAGGCAGGCTGGGTGCCCTAGGCAAGCAAAGGTAAGAATGCTGCTGTACAGTGGGCACCAACCTGTACCAGCACCAACCACTAGTCCTGACAGCAGAATGGGATGAGTGTAAGGGCTACGATTAGCATGATAAGGGTAAGGGATAAGTTGACAATGAAAAGAATGGAGTCACAAAGAAAACTAATAGCAAGAGCAAGAACTTACACCTTAACTTTCTCCATTCTTCATGTCTAATGAAGCAAAATAACTGGGCAAGGACTTCTAAGTCAATCAAGTTAAATGATAACAACTGTGGACTGACTTGCCAACCATGAAGATCAATACAGGTTTATCAATGTTACTGAGGATTTTGTTTCTGCCTCATTATAATGTACTTTGTCAGTACAGTAGAGACATTTAAGTACTCCAGTGACAGTTACAACAATAGTTTCAGGAAGGAATCTATTGACTATAGCCTTGGGAAGCACACAATATGAAAAGGGAGTTCCCCTGAAGACAAGGAGTGTAGACAAGTTGAAACCCTTAAGAACAACAACAGAGATAAAAGATATAAGGAAAAAAAAAAAAAAGATTGACAACAGTGAGGCAGGCACATTTTCTTCCTTTAGCTGAACTAGGGCATGAGGCCTTTAGGCTAACTGGTTTTAAGTGGTGTTGGATAAGCTTTATAAAGCATGAAGATGGCAAAGGTTCACTTAAGTTTCTCTTTTACTACATTAATTTGCTTAAAATCTCAAATGCTTGTGCTTGCAATAACTTCCTAAAAGCAGAAGTAGTGTTCCTTTTATTACCTTAAAGCATTCACCCCTTTGATACAAATCATTTTTACTGTGCTAACAGCTGAACCAAGTGGCACAAAACTGAGATGGTACTTACTGCAGCAAGCAATCCCTATAAATCAAAATCTGAGCTTTACATAAAAATCTTATTTATAAAAAATACAATACCAAGTACAGTGAGAATGGAGCATGGAGCAGCAGTGCTCCCTGCCAGGGCCATGTGGAGTGGCTTTTGCTACAGTGCTTGCTTAATGGCATAAGTGAAAAGCTGAATAAGGCAAACACTTGAAGAGGCAGTTTTCTGTAAACTTCTTGGGGTGGGAGGAATTTTTCCTCTGTTGGGACAGAAGATTTGGGATGGCTAAGATCAAGTGTGACATTTGGCTGCACTTGATACATGACATTACAGACTAAGATAGCTCCTGCTGAGACCAGCTCACTTGTTTTAGGAGAGAGGTTATCACTGTAGACTTTTGCCTTGACTTAAAATATGCAGCCTCCAGCTGGTGTCTCCCTATGGAGGAAATCACCTCTAAAATCATCCTAGGTGACAAGATACAAATAAGCTAAGTCATTCAGAAGTTTCCTTAGCTTAAAGCTACTTAAGAACCCTACATTGATTACTAAGCAACTCTGTTAGCGGTGTGTGGCTCGACACAAATGCTTTAACTAGAATATGTATTCCCATCCAATTGGTACCTAATGGTAATAAACTGTAATGACACTTGGAAAACAAACATATCTTGAGGAATTCTGGCCTCTTCTCATGTCCTCACTTGGAACTTTCCAGCTTTCGTGACATATTTGACTCCTTTAAATGGCTTATATTTCTCCCCATACATGTCCAAGCGGTTTACTTTTAAGCCTGTGTCAAAAAGAATAGGTAAGGAAAGGAATAAATTACTATCCTGGTCACACCAACCAATACAATATTTGCTTAGCAAATAGAGTTTACTACACAGTAAATGTGACATTAACCAGTGTGCTTGTCACCATTTGGAAGCAATGTGTCTTCTACCATTCACAGATTATAGCACTATGGAAATATGGTTTTAGTTCAGATTCCCATGTGGACAAGCAGTGTCTTTTAAGGATAATTCTACTTTCTGTGAGTATGAATGACTCCTTTCTTTGTGCTTGAATGAGGGTAGGGGTGAAGGGAAGCTGTGTGAAATAAGGTACTCTCCAAAATCACTGTACCCATAGCACAAAGTGAAAGGCATACTGGAGCTGTTGCTCTTTGTAGAGACGGAATGTCAGTTACCCTTCTAAGATCCTAGTAGCTGACCTCAGCAAAACTCAATTACCCTTAAACACAAGTCAAATTTCTCCTTACCTGAAATGGCAAGCTGCTGGATCTTGAACTGTATGTTGAGGCTTGGATTCTCTTCTGGCTTGGGTGCTCCAGATTGTAAATTTACCAGTCCTTTAAGACTGGGGAGCTTTTGTGGAGTGATTTTTCCCACATCCCACGTTAGTACCTTAAAAAGACATAAAAAACAAAAACATTCTGAACTATTTATTAAAGACATATGTTCAAAGACAAGGTGCAAAGACACCATAAACTTCTGTACAAAATAAAGCACAGTGTCTTGGAAACAGACCTGGGATTTCCACTGAGTTTTATCACTAATTAGTTCTGTGACTCTGAATGGAGAGTGAGGGTAGAGAATCAATGTTTGTTAAGCATCTACTTTTGGATTTAGCACTGTGCTTAGCACTATTCATATGCTGTCTCATAGACACCTGTAATGTAAATTTTGTCTTAACAAATGAGGAAACTAAAGCTCTGAGGTCAAATGACTTGCTCAAGGTCACATGGCTAGTTAGAGGCAAGGCTGGGATTTGAACCTACAGCTCTCTGGTATCAAATGTTCTTTCCACTATACCACCTTTACTGTTTATCTCTGGGCCTAAGTTTATTTCTCCATAAAATAAGAAGATGGGCCTAAATTGGTGTTTTTAAACTTTTAGTGATGGAACCCTTTGTTCAAATGAAATCTTTAGTGAGGAAGCTCAGTAACAGATGAGAAATTGAAGCTATTATGTTTGAAGCTGGGGTGAAGGGCCAGGGATCTGGAGCTCCCCCTTCACTTCTCATCCCTGTGTGGTCTCTGGGGAGATTCTTCAAATCCTCAGTATTGGATTAGATGATCTTTAACATTCAATGATTTTACTAAAAAAAAAAAGAAAACCCTTTGCATTTACCAGGTAGCTCAATGACTCTACTGAAGAAAAGAATCATTTTTTACCCAAGCAGGAAGCAGAGAGAAAAATCATCTTTTACAATTTCTCTGAAATCCTTCTGCTAGAGGCAAATATATGTAGGGTGAGAAGGCAGCTTTCCTAGCCAACATCCTCTGTGGAAGAGTATGAAACAATGCTTTTA